ATAAAAGAAGCTTCTTTTTAGCCTATAAGTACTAAATTATAACGTACTTCATAGGCAAGTTGCTTACACACCTGAGTTGCTTACTTTTGCTAAGACCTTACTAAACCACCCTTCCTACACTAATGCATTCCCCACAACACTACTTAGACGCGCTAAAAGAACATTAGATACAGCTTACACTCTAAGCTTTTAAATAAGACATAAAACTCTTAAAGAAATATGCTATAGCTATATATAAAGTCCTATAAAAAATAATAAATAACTACAGCGCTAGACAACCTTTACAAGCTAATTCTACAGCTAAATTATAAAGGCTAGGTAATAAAAAGAAGCAGGTAATTGTTAAGACTATACTTAAGCTATATGCGCAAGAAATTTCCCCTTAGATAGCATTTATAGCTAATATAGCTAATTCTTTGCGCGCTAAGCGTAATCTAGGCTATGTTTGCATAAACTAGCCTAGTACGTTTGTAAAGTGTTATTTAAAGCTTAAAGTAAAGTTTTAAGTGTAAGTATAGTTAAAAGATATCTAGCTAATTATAAACCCTATCTTGCTAAAGTTATACGTGTTATTATCTTAGATGCTATACTTAGCTTTAATATTCTCTATAAGGCTAAACCTGCCCTAAATTACTTTAAGACTCTTATAAAAAGCTCTTTTATAGTTATACTTACGCTTAAACATTACTTTAAGCTCTAAATAACGCTTTATAAACATACTAGGCTAGTTTATGTAAACATAGCCTAGATTACGCTTAGCGCGCAAAGAATTAGCTATATTAGCTATAAATGCTATCTAAGGGGAAATTCCTTGCGCATATAGCTTAAGTATAGTCTTAATAATTACCTACTCCTTTTATTACCTAGCCTTTGTAATTTAGCTGTAGAATTAGCTTGTAAAGGTTATCTAGCGCTATAGTTATTTATTATCTTTTATAAGACTCTATACATAGCTATAGCACATTTCTTTAAGAGTTTTATATCTTATTTAAAAGCTTAGAGTGTAAGCTGTATCTAACATTCTTTTAGCGCGTCTAAGTAGTGTTGTAGGGAATGCATTAGTGTAGAAAGAGTAGTTTAGTAGGGTCTTAGCAAAAGTAAGCAACTTAGGTGTGTAAGCAACTCGCCCATGAAGTACGTTAGTTTTAAACATACCTAGGCAAACTTTTTTAAAGCTATAGTAGCCTACTTTACAGCATATAATCTAGAAAAGAGGACTTATAAAAAAGACTTTATTATTTTATTTAAATTAGCTTTAATTAACAAACTACACTTACTACTCTTATAATTAATAACTATATGTAAAGTGTTTAGTTTAGAGGACACTACTAGTAGTGTAAAGAAATACTTAGTAAGAACACCTAGCTAAATTAGACTAGTTTTAGTTTAAAGATGTAAAGAACATAATAGTAATACTTTAAACTATAACTACTAATAAGGACTATTAGTCTATAAAGAGAGGAGTAGTGTAACAATCTTTATAAATTATTCTGTTTTAGATAGCCTAGAAGGCTCTTATATTAGCTTTAACCTTAATTTAATTTTTATAAATTATATCTATCTTAGGTTGCCTAGAACCTATCTAAAAAGACCCTATATTAGCCCGAACTCTGCCTTACCCCTTGCTGTACCTCTATTTCCTTATGTATTTAGTTGCACCTTGCCCCTGTAGCTAGCTTAGTAGTTTTATAATATCCTTTTGTACAAGGCCTATAGGTGTTAATGGCATTCCTAGGTTCAGAGTCCCCACGCACTCCCATATGCCTCTGAGTGGACTCCCACCGCATTCGGACCCATTGTCTTGCCTGCGCCGTTACAAGAGGGTGTGTTGCATACAGCTATCTGTCTATATATATCCTTTTGCTGTGCTAGCTAGAAGGTTAACCTTTTAGTAAACATAATAGCTTACTATACTTAATATATTTAAGTTTATAAAATATAAAGTTAAGTAAAATCTATTTTTAAAATATACTAATTAGTTAGTTATAATTTTTTATTAGTTTATATATTTTTTATATTTTTTTTTAAAAAAATGTATACTTAATATAAGTACACTTTTATATTAATTTATATGTAGTTTAATTTAGTATATGTTATATAAAATATATTTAAATTATAGTTAGCTATGTTTATTTTATATTTTTTGCTATTTTAGTGTGTTAAGAAATAGCATTAGCTATATTAGTATGTTAGAGATTAGCATTAGCTATATTAGTGTGTTAGAGATTAGTATTAGCTATGCTTAGTTATAGGCTGTAATTAGTTACATGCTATAGTTAAATATTATTATTATATTTCTATTACCTGTCTAATACTAATTTGCTAAGCATTATGCTACAACTATATAACAGTGTAGGCAAGACAATAGGTCTAAATGCAGTGGGAATCCACTTAGAGGCATATAGAAGTGCGTGGGGACTTAGAACCTAAGAATGCTATTAACACCTATAGGCCTTATACAAAGCATATTAGAAAACTACTAAGCTAGCTAAAAAAAAAAGTGCAACTAAATACTTAGAAAAATAAGAGTAACTATAGAGGAAAAAGTTAAGTTATAGTTAAGGCTAATATAAAGACTTATTAAATAAGTTCTAAGTAACCTAAGATAAAATAATTTATAAAAATTATTATAAACTATTCTTTAACCTAAATAACCTACTATAAAGATAGAATAGTAGGTAGCACAGATAGCACTAAAAGTAAGCTTTTAAAGAAAGATAGAAGTGTATTATAAGAGAGACAAATCACTGCTAAGCCTTGCTTGTTAGAGTTTATGCTTATATACAAAGCACAGGTCATGTGACCTCCAAACAGGTCAGGGGAGGCCATACTGGCCCGCTCTGGGACATCCGGCCTTACACCTACCTTAATGTGCTAACTATTGCTCTAAGCAAGCTTTGCTTTTACAGATTATTTATAAACTGTTATAGTATTTTAGTATTATTTTAGATATGTAAGTTACCTTTATAAGTTTATTATACATAAAGTGTTTTATAGCAAGGTAGTAAGGGTAAAAGCTAGTTGCGTTTATACAGCAGTTGTCTAGAGGGGGGGGAGAGTAGGTAAGTAGTAGTAGTTAACTGTATAGTAGCTTTTAAAAAGCAAGCTGTTGTGCAGAGTACCAGGTTAGCTCTAGGGCAGGGGCTAGTTGCTTGTTTATACAGCTGTTAAAAAAAAGAGAAGTGTTAATAAGGCAGGCTGCTAATAAAAAGCCTTCTCTGCGTAGCTACGCACGCAGTAAGTTTTTAATTATGCAGCCTATATTATCTCCTCTATGTAGCTACGCACACAGTAGGTAAGTAGTTACATAGCCTGTATTAACAGGAAGCTCTAGGGCGCATAAAGGCTTAGCAGTAAGCTCTTTTTATATAGCTACGCACACAGCAGGTTGCTAATCTTGTCTTTATGTAATTAGTTAATCTAGGGGTGTGCATAATGCTTGTCTAAGCCCTCTCTGCATAGCTACGCACATAGTAGGAGTAAGCTATTTGTACAGTAGCAGTTTTATTAATCCTTATAAATCTGTCTGTTAAGAATAATATCCTCTATGTAGCTACACACACAGTAAATAGTCTATTAATAGACTAATTAGTGTTAGTTAACCTAGGTTTAATTAAATAAACATACGCCTAAAAGGTGTACTAAGAGGTAAGTAGGTAAAGATTTTTTTATTATTAAGTACTGCCCTTTTTTTTTATATAAAGAAAAAGAGCTTTTAAGTACACATAGCCTCTAATGCATAGGCTAGATAGTTAACGTTTTAGGCAACCTAATTCAGCTGTACGCGTGTACAGACGCAGCTGTACTTACGTACAGACAGTAGTTAGATTTTAAGTGCTTTTAAAAGTTTATAATAACTTTTAAAGCATAGTTATAATTATAAAAATTATAGTATTAAAAAAACAGCTGTTTTTTTTAGTAAGTTTATTAGACATTAGTAGTTATATAAAGTTTCTAATGTTACTACCTTTATTTTTAGACACTAGAGTTAAGCTTAATTTATAGAATTTTATTATATAAGACTTTTAAAGTTATTTTATTAATAGAGAAGTAAATTTTTAGCTAAGACAATAAATTAATTTAAGGATCTAATCTAGATTCAGGATAGCGTGGATTCGGATCGATCCACGAATCGGATCGATCTATCGCTAGCGCTGGTTTTGTCTAAAGAATAGCCGATTTTTTGCGTCACGTGACAGCCATAATTTCCTAATTTGGATTTCGGTTTTTGACAAGCCCACTGTACATACATATATACAAAAAAAATTCCATATAGATATGCTAACCTCCGCTTAGCAAATAAGGACCTAGATTAATTGCCAAATGAGTGTACTTAGGCGTCAATATATATATGCAGGAAAAGGGGGCAGATCTTAGCAACACGTGACGATTGTGTGAGCCATGCATGACTACTGCAAACGCAACATGGTGTTAAATATGCTGCATAGGAATAGGGCTGGTAATGTTTAACTAAGGTGGGTTGCAGTGGTGGATGAATAAAAGCAGATGGGAGAACTTGGAAAGCTCCATATATACAAACATCTCGTAGAAGGTGCACATACCTAGAGTAACATCGCGATGTCGATAGAAAAGACCGAATATGTTAAAAGGAATGACAAAGTGTCGTCGCCCCCGGCTCTGCTCAGGGGAATTCGCGTCGGCTGGAAAATTTTATTCCTAGTGAATGTCACCAAATGCACGCCCTGCAGAAGGTGGTTGCACATTGGTGACGCGACCTAGTAGTACTCGCGGAGCTTCCTCGCGGAGCTTACTCACGGAGCTTAGTAGGAAGGGATTTCTCTACCATAGGTGTCGCCATTTTCACCAACGCTGTAACAGTAAAAACAGCCCAACAAGCCTCCCATGTTCAACTTACTTGCATATAGCAAGTCCACATCACTCCCATATGCCGTGATTTCCCTTAGAAGGCCATGCAAGACCACTTTCGCGCATGGGCTATGTCGCATCTAACGAAGGATGAATCATTGAACCTGACTCCCTCACACTACATCCGCTGGCCTGACTGGCGATCTCGTCTGGGACACATAGACCGTCTTCATAATGCCATCATCTGAACCTGTGATCCTCTGATCATCGCTGTTCGCATCACCGCCCCTCCACCGTCCCCAGTTATCCTTCAGCTGGATCTCATCGGTACTTTTAAAGCCATCTCCTTTCCGGGTTCCTAGCTCGTCGTAACTATCGTAACCCGCTCTGACCTTGGACCGCTGGATGCTGCGCGAGATTGCATTGCTGCCTGAGCTCGGCTTGTAGCTTGATGCTTTCTGCTCTGGGGTGCGCAGTGCCGGAATGCAGGCGCTCAACATCCATTTGATGGTGGGACCTGAGGCCGCAATGAGAGCAACAGCGGCTTCGATGGATGAATATGAAGGTTCGAGCGAGTATGAGGTGTTGCTACCGTTGAAGGTCCCCATGAGGAACCTGAGACGGAGCACACCGATGACAAGGACAATGCAGCCGAGCGAGAGGAAGGCTATGGTCATGAGTTTGCGCAAGCGCGGCATTTGGATATCGTAGATGATCCAAGTAGGCATAATCAACACCATAACGTCAGTAATTAGGACGATCGAGATAGTACCGATGACGTGCTTGCGTCCATCGTAACATCTGCCAGGTATTTGGGGGTACCACTTCTTCTTTACGGGGAGGCAGGGAATCGAAGTGACAATGAGATGTCCAATGCCATATGCAAGATTAATACACTGGATAACCCAGAGTGATCGCCGAATCCAGACTCGTGGGGAGCGCAGCTTCTGAAGAGACCAGAGGAAAGAAGCTTTGATGGCGACCATGATGGGGTTGTAGGCGATGGACATAGCGTAGAGAATCTGCGAGAAAGTGAAACAGTCAGCAAAAGGGAGTTCTCTTTTCGAGGATGGACAAGCACATACCTTCATCGCGTACGTTATATTAATCTTTTGCCCAGGCACGTCCTCGTCGCGATAGCCTTGGTACATGGCAATTGTAACTACAGATGTCAAATCAAATCCTTGGTTAAACGTAACGCCCGCTGCGACTTACACAGGATCGTCAAAGGAGTGCACGCTACCGAAAGCAGCCAAGCGGCGAAGATGAGCCAGTCATCTGAGAAGCGATGAAAATTTTAGCCATCGAGGAACGGTCATTATGCTAGCACTTAACATACCTCCAGCCAGTGTCCGATGAGAGTGCTTCTGATAAAGTCTCGCCCCAATAACAAATCCCGATATCACTGGACAAACGCACATAATTGCGATTATGCCAGGTTGCAACCCACTGCCCGCCATTGTGGATTCGTGGTGTGATGAAATGGTGCCAACTTAGGATCTTCGCCACTTGGTCAGGAACGAGTCGGTCAGCCCCTTATTTATTATAACGTCCGCCTAGTCTAACTGCCGCGGGGAAACAAATGGTTTGGGAAATATCATTTGTTAGGATCTATCTGCAGGGTGAAATACGGGTGGTTCCGGCTCCTGAATTCATGCAATACAATATATGTTGTTACACAGAACATGGGTCCATTCCTTGGAGGATTCATTTGATGCTGAGAACCAACTCAAATAAAGTGCTGACTGGAGTATATTTTGATTTCGCAATGCAATTCCTTCGTCCCCTGAAGATTCGAAACATAAGGGATCGTTCGCATTGTTTCTCTGAGTTTCATGAGCGAGTTCTATCAGGGTTAGATAGAAAAGTGGTACACATACAGGCCTGTCTACTTACACTAGTGGCAGCCACTCACCCGCTTGCATGAGAATACGACTGGATTACACACAAACTTGAAAACTTCGCGAACGATAAAATCCAGCACCTCGCGGCTGCACACCGGGAGATTGAGCGACTAACACGGTCAGGGTACGCAGAAGGATTCAGGAACTCGGGAAGATTACCGCAAGCGAGAGAACGAAGGACGAATTAGGAGCGGTGGGGCGGTTAAGTTGTAGGTCCCACTGTCAAGGGAATGTGGGGAACCATACAGTCGGTAAAATAAAGACTCGTGTTGCTGCACACTGTACTTTGATCCGTCTTCTTCTTCAGCCCCTGCAGTGAAAACGTCAAAGGATCCCTCTTTTTCTCCCTTCGTTCGAATTCTTCCGGGCGCATGGCATCCAACAAAATGTTCACTGCCATGCTGATATCTGCCATCATCCTATCGCTTGTTGCTCGTGTTGCACAGGCTCAAGAGCCCATTGCTACGCCTACCTCTATCGAGCCTGCTGCGGCTACAGTTGCGCCTACAGACACCAAAGCAGGCGTGAAACTGTTCGACGCTGAGACGGTTCAATTGACGGACAAAGTAATCGCTATACTCAACACCAGCGACAACACCAACATTGCCGACTATGCGCATCTCTTCGCCTTTGATACCAATGCCAGCAGCGTACCCGAAGTTGCCAAATATCGACGCAGTGGATTCTGCAAAAGTGCGCCCGGTGATCTCCTCTGGCCGTCCAGGATAGCTTGGGGCATCTTCGATCTCCTGCTGGGTGGCGCTCTGTCCCCGATTGTTCCCATCGCTTCTCCTTGTTATGAGGACTCGGTATACGATGACTACGACGTCACCGAATGCGCTTCAGTGACTTCTAAATGGAACACTGAAAGCTTGCACTTCTCTGATCCAGGGTCTGTCATGTTCCCCATTTACCAAGGCAAAACTTGCATGCCCGGAACCAATGCCAGCGCATTAAAAAGCTGCACCCAGGGAGGTTACGCTGCCTATTCAGTTGAAGTTAGCAACGTGGCCCAGATTCAACTCGCAGTTAATTTCGCCCGTGTCTCAAACCTTCGTCTAGTTATCAAAAACACAGGACACGACTACAACGGCCGCTCGACCGGAAAGGACGCCTTGAGTCTCTGGACACACAACCTAAAGGACATTGCCTTTGTAAAGAACTATATTAGCCCGGATTACAAGGGGGCCGCTTTCAAGGTTGGCGCTGGAGTCCAGGCCAATGAGCTATACAAGGCGGCAGATAAGAACGGCGTTACCACGGTTGCTGGTATTTGTCCAACGGTTGGTGTGGCTGGCGGATACATTACAGGCGGAGGGCATAGTCCTGTCATGCAGCTCTTCGGAATGGGGGCGGACCAAGTCGTTGCTCTTGAAGTTGTTACTGCCAGCGGACGGTTTGTGACGGCGACTCCAAGTGTTAACTCGGACCTTTACTGGGCAATGCTCGGTGGTGGTGGTGGTACCTTTGGAATCATTACCTCTGCTGTACTCAAAGCACATCCCAAAATCCCCGTAACAACCTCGATCTTCAGCTTCGCTGCGTCTCGTGATAGTTCTGTCCCTGAGGCGACTTTCTGGAAAGGCTTCGCCGCGCTCTGGGACTCGTTTCCTGCATGGAATGCTGCAAAGACATACTCTTACTTCTTCTTGTCTAACATTACAGGAGTCATGACCTTCAGCATGGCACCCTTTTTTGCACCTAACATGACTGTTGTGGAGTACAATAAGCTCGTTGCTCCTTTCTTAGCTAACCTTACTGCGCTAAATATTCCGTACACAATCAACACAACCTACCACCCCTCTTTCTTATCTGCGTTTAACGCAACATTCGCCCCACTAGACCAGCACGTCGGTGCTGCAGAAAGCCTGCCTGGGAACAGGATTCTACCCGCGGAGAACTGGAACAACGCTACCATCCGAGAGAAGACGCTCGCGGCCATTAAGACAGCAGTTGGCAAGGGCGTTGGTCTCAACATCTACCACCAAGCACCAGCCACCCAGCCGAAGATCCTAAATTCGGTGAACCCGGCGTTCCGTAACGAAGCCAGTATGATCATTGCCATAGGAATGCCGACAACATCAGACGACCAGCTCGGTGCTGCTGGCCGGGCCTTGACGAACGATATGCTAGGCCCGCTTCGGGATGTGAGTCCAAACGGTGGGACGTACGGCAATGAGGCTGAAATCAATGAGCCGAATTTCCAGAAGGCTTTCTGGGGCGCAAACTATCCCAGATTGCTAAGCATCAAGAAGAAATGGGATCCGACGGGGTTGTTCTATGTGCACCATGGCGTGGGAAGCGAGGAGTGGGTTGTTCAGGACGGAGTGAAGTTCGGCGGCATCCCGACGCAGAATGGCCGACTGTGCCGAGCGTAGAGTTAGGGCAAAAGTCGAAGAACTTGGCGATATATAATTCCATAATATTTAATCGCATTGAGACGTAATGTGTGCCCACCCCAGGGGAAGGTCGTAATGCTGATGAGGAGTTATTGTGCCTTGCAAAAGCTACTCACTGCCAGAATTTCTACTAATAGTTAGACTCTGCCACGTCCTTGGCACGCGCACAGGTCAACTGGACGAACAGCAAACTGCAAAACTAGAAGATAGAACTACAATAAAGTGTCAAGATATGACTGAAAAGAAATATAAGAGAAAGCAGCAATACAGTTTGTCGCAGAGGATTGCTAAGTTGCATATTAATGTCTCTTGTTTTAGCACTGCTGTACCTTTTCAAGGCCGTTATCCTTGCAATTTTGACAGTAACCGCCTTTTGCAAGGCACATTAACTATTCGGCAAATTGTACAGATCGGAATATTAGTTAAGTGGACTTTGACAAAAGAACCGGTGGGAACCTTTGGTCTTTACACCGCCAAGCCATAGGCGCTTATCGATAAAGGCCGGCACGTGCGCCTCTTACGCATTCTTCTCGTTCCTACATCTTCCAACGTTGTTTTCTCATTCCCTCTCTCACCTCCGATTAAAGTTGATAACATTCGGGATGTGGCCCTTTTACACGCTTTCCTTTGCGCTTCTAACGTCTCTCACGGCGAGTGCCATCCCACCCACCCAACCTCATCCGCAGGCCGTGTTTGAGGCGTCTGCTAGCCAGGATATCATTGGCATTGCCAAAGAAGGTGTTGGCCACTTCAGTGAATGGAGTCGTGCCACCAAGAAAGAGTTTTTGGTTGATTGGCAAGCGAGTAAGGAGTCGGAATGGACGATAGTCCAAGGCAATGAAGGCGGAGATCTCGACAGCATGACAGCAGCTCTCGCCTGGGCCTATCATCTCAGACATTCGACGCAGAACACATCGAGCCCGATCAAAGCTATTGCCCTACTACAGACACCTGCAGATGCGCTGGATCTTCGCCCCGAGAACAAGCTAGCTCTAGACAACTCCAAAATGACAAGCGGACATGAAGATCTCCTAACACTTGATGAGCTGCCTGAGGATCCGGAAACTCTCAGCCGCAAGATTAGAGGCATCGTCCTAGTCGATCATGCTAAACCGTTGCGCAAATGGCGAAATGCGAAGATCCTAAGCATCTTCGATCACCACATTGACCGAGGCGCTGGGCCGGAAGCCAAACCACGAATTTTCGAGAAGACAGCCAGCTGCACGACCATTGTTGCTCGGCAAATGCTTGACGAACTGGAAAAGCTTCCCGAGGAGTACCACATGCCGCATGAGCTACTAGAGCTTATTCTAAGTGCGATAGCCATTGATTCAAGTGGACTAACGAATTCAGCAAGTACAGAAGAAGACGTTAAAACATCTGCACGTGTTCTGAAGCGGAGCAATTGGGCGAAAAGAGATCTAGAAGATGTCATGGAGGACCTAGACGACAGGCTCAGCGACGCTAAGAAAGATCTCGACCATCTCGGCCTCCGGGACCTATTGCGACGAGATTGGAAGGGCGACCTCGTCGACACCCCTTCACCGAACACTCCAACTGTAAGCCTTGGCTTTGCATCCGTCCCATACTCCATGGATGCGCAGATAGTGAAGACGGAGTTTAAGGAACTCTTCGACTGGTTTGCTATTCATGCTGCCTGGACAGCGGAGATTAGTGTCGATATCAGCATCTCGCTGAATAAATACAAGACGCGCAAAAATGGAGAGAAGAAGAAGATCAGAGAAATTGTGCTCGTCGTAAGAGACGATGTCAGAATTGGCCAAGCTCAGGCTGATTCACTTTTCCGGGTCGTTTATGAGGCTCTAGAAAATGAAAAGAGCCTAGGGCTCCAGCCATGGCATAGAGCTCATGAGCTTGGACGGAGGCAGATGGTATGGAGGCACGAGTCTGATGCAGGACGTAAGGTTATCCGGCCCATCGTCGAAGATGCAGTTATGGCATGGGACTAAGCCCGTTACTGCGAAAACTACAACTCTAAATTACTTGAGATAGAGTATTCTCTTCATCACTTCCTGTAGCTTCGAAGCACACTCCTCTTCGCTTCCACTGGACTCTGCTCTCCATGCAACGAATAGATCCGGTCTCACAAGCACCGCACCATCCTCTTCCACTCCTCTTTTGTCCGCCCAAGCGTGATACGGATCTTCCCAATCTTGACCGAATCCAATCCCTACGACACCGATTGGTACTTTTAGGCTCTCGCTCACAGCGGCAGCAGCTACCTTCCACGACTCGCCCCCGATTCCAGTGAAGAGGCAGAAGCGCCCTTTGCCAGCGATGTCAACAGTCGAGACCAGTTTCTTAGGAAGAGCGGTGTTCAGCCATACATGGGGAAGGCGTCGACCTGGATACGTATTTGCATCATAGAAGAGTACCGGATTGTCTGCTTCCTTCCCGGACGGTAAGTAAGGCCCTGGTTCATCACCAACGTAGACAGCATGACTATGGTACAGCTGGCCCATCTCTAGACCCAGCGCGCCTGTCTCATGATACAAATCCTGCTGTCGTTCTTTCAGCAACTTTCGTCGTGCTCTTCCCTTTTCAGAGTTCTCTCTAAGCTCCGTGATGCCTGCTAGTCGTTCTTCCAGGGTGTGGCCAGGTGGAAGGACCCCAACAGTCTGCCATACCAGAATGTGTTTACGAAGCATATCGTTAGAAGCCTTGACCAATTGGGCGGCGATTGGCTGACGCTCAATGTTGTAGGTTTCAAGGAGGCCAGGTGATGCTGCACCATCCATGACTAGGTTTATTTTCCATGCCAGGTTAAAAGAATCCTGGATACAAGTGTTGCTACCCAGCCCGAGAGTTGGTGGGTGGCGATGGATGGCATCTCCAAGACAGAAACTAATTGAATGAAGTTAGCTTATGTTAGTTCAGAATCGTTCGCAGGGCTCCTACACGTTACCCCTCGAGATGGTATCAGCAGACGTCTCATTAATAACCCACTTGGACACTCCAAGCACCTGAACCTTGACGGTATTATCGTCAATCATATCCTCGACCACCTCGCCCCACTGGCCGTTAGTACGGTCATCAATAGTACAATCAGGGCCTTTAGGAAAGATCACGAACAGCCACTCATACCAAGGCTTTACCATTCTCCCTACGCACATGAAAGGGTAATCCCGGGCAAGGCGTAGGTTCCAGTGTAGATTCCCGGGCCGACTATTCATCAAGTGCGACAGATCAGCACGTACTAGGATATTATATGCTATACCGCCTCCAGGGAGAACAGTAAATGGGAGACCGAGTTGCTGTGCAACAATGCTCTGTCCGCCGTCGGCGCCGAAGAGGTACTTCGTCGTGATATAGTACTCTGCTCCAGTCGCGCGATCCTTCACATGGCAGAATATCTTTCCAGAGACCGTATCCTCTGCAAATGACAATAACTGTGTATCGAATCTAACCTTAAATCCATTCGCTGTCGCATATTTCACATGGATAGGCTCCAGCAAAGTCTGCGGCAGATCCATAGGGTTACATGGAGAAGCCAAATCATAATCGCTTGCACGGTCACCATATCCCCAGGAATAATTTCGCCCCTATTCTTCCCCGCTCATCGATTCGGACCAACGGTAGTGCATGATAGAGGAGCCGCGTTGTCCAAGTCTCTCGCATTCCTCCCACAGCCCAATGTCGACGTTTCGGATGCATTGCAACGCCGCCTGGTTGTGCATATGAGCACGCGGTGTATTTGCCGTCCCTGGAGCAGCGCTGATTACGAGGCCGTTTTTACCATAGCTTGCAAGGAAGCAGGCTAGTGATGCTCCCGCAGGCCCAGCTCCGATTATGAGAAGGTCGGTTTCGATCATGGAATTAGTGCCTATGGCAAAGTTTCGCAGCGTCGACATTGAGTCAAAGGTTGGTTCTTAATGTCAAGACTAGGTACTACTCGAAGCTTGATCAGGCCTGTTCTTGGTTTAAGAAAGATAGCACAAAGCGGTTGGGTAGACGAAACTGTTGGGGAGCAAGAGTGCTTCGGAGACATTGAGGCGAAAGGTAGCAAGAATATGTCGGCGTTATATGTTCCGTGTTCTATTTCATAGCTGTTAAGGCTAGAGAAAGCTACCTAGACGGTTAGAGGATAAATCGTTGACCAAGCAGGGTGATTTGACGCGAAGGGTGGGAAGATAGGACAGCTTTTCCTCAAAGGAGACAAGTCCAATCAGCAACATCAGGTTAGGCATGCATCAGCCTCGCAAAGACCCTGCACCCGCTCGTACTCCGCTCTTAGATCAGTCTGGGGCTTACAAATGAGCCTATTTTAACGTCTGCGAGGCGGGTGTGTTCACTCGCAATGACTCCGCCGAGCATGTTAGATGCTACTCCTAGAGTGGAGTCAGCGGACCAAAGCGGGGAAGGGCGGAATGAGCCCGCTAGCGAAGGTTGGATTGGAGGGAAGGCGTTGAACACGTAGTCTTTGTTAGCAATTGGCTTAATATGAGATCCCGGCATGTTCACCACTTGCATAATTATGGACAAACGAAGAACACGATACTCCAACCCATCAAATTGTCGCACCATGAACGCTCATAAATTCTACAACGACGTGATCTTCCCACTCAGCCGTAAGTCCCTCGAGCTAGCGGCAACGTCGATTGCAAACGTTCCTTTTGGAAGCACCCATTTCTTTGACGTGGAATCCCAATAACTTAGATCCTTTCTCCGCAATGAGAAGCTCACAGTCTTACCTTCTCCTGCATTGATTGATAGTTTCTGAAATCCACGTAATTGGCGGACGGGGGTTTCTGGTGCTGAATCTGGGAGGCCAACATATAGCTGCGCAACCTCCGCGGCAGTCACCGTGCCGGAGTTTGTAATCGTAGCTGTAACAGTAGCTACGCCTTCGAAGAGAGACGATGCGCCCCCCGGAATCGTGGCACCACTTTCTGGCCCAGATGTAGGGGATCCAGTGATAACGAGGTTTGAATAGTTGAATGTAGTATAAGCTTTGCAAGATCAGTATCCGCTTTCAGGTCAACATAGCGATTTGTACTCACAAAGTCCATATCCGAACTCATACCTTGGGACAATCGATTTCTTGTCCAGCGCACGATAATCAATATACAAGCCTTCACCAAAGTTATCGGATGTGGATTGGATCGTCGTCCCATAATCTCCCGCCTTCTTAGCGATTGAGTAGGGAAGTTTTCCATTGGGGCTCACATCCCCATATAATACATCAGTTAATGCATTGCCAGCTTCCTGGCCTGGAAGTCCCGCCCAGACAATCGCCTTGACGCTATCGAGATCGGCAAACGCCTCCATTAGGATTGGTCCAACACTGTGAATGACGACAATTGTATTCTTGTTGACATTTGCTACCGCTTTCACGAGGTCTTCCCCATTATGCCATGCGTTGAGATTGGTACGATCTCCGTTATGGCCCTCAACGGTAAGATACTCCTCTCCGGAATCAGCGGTGATGAAGACGATTGCAACATCGGCCTTTTGCGCAGCCGAAGCGCCTTGGCTAGCGGTGTCAGAGGCGGAGAGGGTAACTGAGGCCCCATCTTTCTTTGCTCTTGCGCTGATTGCATCAGCAGGAGAGCTCACATACTATCTAATATTAGTGTTGACAGATAACGAAATCACCGAAATACACCGCAATCTTACTCACAGGAAGCGTTGCGGAACCAGAACCCCACCCCATCGTAAGAGTACCTTGATTACATCCCATGTCCTGACATGAATTGATGCCTTTTGGATTCGGGACAGCGTCAGATCCGACCAAGGCGATGCTCTTTAGTTTCTTTAAAGGCAAGATGCCATCGGTGTTCTTTAAAAGCACAATCCCGTCCCGGGCAACAGCACGCGCAATAGTAGAGTGGTTTCCTTGCACGTTTGGACCCCCGTTCTTCGTTTGACGGTCAATGGCAGTTGCTGGATAACCCGAGTCTTGCTTGGTCAAATACCATGATGCCAGAATCCTTGTAACCATGTCATCAAGCCGGCTACTAGAAACCTGTCCACCTGATACAGCAGACTGAAGTTTAGACCCCCAGAATACATTCCCACCGTCCGACGCCGACCCAGGCATGGTCATATCGAGTCCAGTGTTGGCAGAATCGACAGTGGAGTGCTGGGCGTCCCAATCAGTGAGGATGTAGCCCCGGAATCCAAGCTCTTTCTTCAACAGTTCATCCATGACGCGCTTGTTCTCGCATGCCCACTTTCCATCAAATTTGTTGTATGAGCACATGACCGAGGCTACATTAGCGCGAACGGCTTCTGCAAAAGGCCATAAGTAGAGCTCGTGCAGCGTTCGATCGTTAACAACCGAGTTCATTGTCTCGCGATTCTTCTCTTGCTCGTTCAGGATGTAGTGCTTCACACAAGCCTGGGCGCCTCCCTCTTGGATGCCTGCAATAGTCTGCTCAGTTGCTACTCCGGCGAGGTAAGGGTCGTTAGAGAAGCCTTCCCAATTCCGACCACCCTGTGCGAACTGGCCAAGTGGACCAGCTACAGGGCCCAATATGACGTGAATGCCGAGTGCTTTTGTTTCTTCACCGAGGCCCCGGCCTCGTGCTCGGATTAGGTCGCGATCCCAAGTTGCACCCGCCATAATTCCTGCAGGAAAAGCAGTGATGCTAGCAGCAGAGCGTACACCGAGGGGGCCATCCTGAAGGCAAAGCGAGGGGTAGTTGATGGATTTTGCAGAGCCTGTATTGCCCGAACATTTGCCTTTGCCCCACCCAATGCCTGATACGAGACCAATCTTGTCCGACTGGGACAGTTTTGCAAGGGCAGCGGTGGCCTTGGTGTACGCCAGGTCCCAATCTCCGTTAAACCCTTGAGAGGCGCCAAGGGTGACGAGGAGCCCCAACGGGAGGACCAGAGGGCGCATTTTGAAGGTGTGTGTGGAGCAGCCAAAACAAGGAAACAAAAGCGGCTCCCTACATCTTTATTACGCTAAAGCCAAGAACAGCTGGAGAAAGAAGATATACTTCATTTACCAGGCAAGCCAATATGGAAACCTCGGTAGGTCCAAGAGAGCGCACATGATGAGTACGACGGAGGTGTGAGGGCGTGAGTGGTGGGGTTTTTAATCAATGCTCGGTTAATACGCCGTCCCAAGGACAAGGCATGTGGATGATCTTCAACCTATGTTACCCCAGATTCTTAGCAGAACGCTTTGTCTTCCTACTTGCCGACACGGCTATCATGCTCTTAGTCAATATGGTGACACCCTTCGATTGGATGCGAATCCTGCAGGCGACTCCAATGATCCGTAGCCAAACCCGTTGCCCATGACGGGAACTACGACTTCCTTTTCCAGATTTCAACTACCGCCCCCTTGCGATCTCCACGCAGGATTAGGTTCTCGTCAAATCGTGTTTGGTCTGGCGAGCTGTATCACTTCGGGCAGCCGGCGAGGGTATTGTTGGTCAGTAGTGGGTATTTCAAGAACGAAGGCATTAACTAGGGGAATCTGAATGGAAGAATCTCCCACCATGTATCTCTCTCCTCAGGGTTAACATGCCGTTCTCCCATACGCCAGCGCGCGTGATCAAGCTATTCAGGCGCAGTTCGAGTTGCCGGCAAGAGGAAAAGACGAGTCGGGATCCGATAATCGATCGGTCTACTGCACATGGGGTTTCGGGCAATCGTGAGTCGAAGGACCCTTCCATAGCAACTGCAGAAGTTGCGTGAAAGCCAGGGGCTAGTGGCGGAGACCGGTACAGGAATCAGGGCTCGGAAATATATTTAGCGTATGCAAAAAAGACGGAATTCTTGGCGCTCGGCGAGATTTGTACTCCTCCTCTAATTTCCTATAACAACAACGCAATTTAAATCTATAAGAGCACTGTTGTGCCATCTCCCTGGTATGTAAAATTCTGCTACCTCTATTTTTAATTTATATTTCGTAGCCGCTAACATACAAGAGGGTTATTATTCTACTCTTCTAAAGTGATTGTGAGAGCACTGTATGCAAGAAGTATGAAGCGCGGAAGAGGGGTGTAGGATAGCATTGGTAGACGAGTCCTTGGGAAGACTCAGGAGTTCGAGAAAAGATATAGATATAATGGGCACGTGACGGGACGTCATGTGCCCGAGGCCGGACTCCAGGGAGGTTCCGAGGCGTGTCCCGGTTAACCGCGACAGTTTTAGAGGGCTCACTTAAAGATGCGCACAGTCCGGAGCGTTTTTGCACAATTTTACAAATCTACTCTTCACAGCAGCAACTATCTTTAATATAGAATATAGACGTTTAATATTATATAGAGAAGATATTATAGAGCGAGAGGCATTGTTTTATTAAGAAAATATATTTGCGGTGCTGAGATATCAAAGAAAAGGAGTTGGGGAAAACAGAAGTCTTGCAAAGCACCAACAATTCCGTCGATTTTTGCATTCGCTAAATTGTGGCGACACTCTGGCACGTTAGCGCCTCAGCTAGTGTCAGTGCCCGCCTCGAACCGCAACTCTCGAGTTATCCAGCATCAACCATCTCAGGGTTTCGACGACTCTTTCGCGCGTTATTCGAATAACTCGTCATTTAAAAGTCATCCTCGTCATTTCATGGACAGCCTTCCCAGTGCGGCATGGGGTTTATCAAATAAACGTAGCGTTGCCTTTCGTACTTGCTACTAATCACGAGAATTACCCTAGAATACTCACCTTTACTGGGATTCTCTTCTTCTATCTCTCAGCCCAAAAACACCTCCGCACGCCCGGTGAATCTCTCTTGCACATCCCAGAATACTACAACGACACTCCTTTAACTGACCAGCAACTCTAAATGCTCACTCGGTAGAGATGTCCTAGAATTAATCTTACGAGTCCTTCGGTGACGCTCAGCGGGACGGGCTTTCGTAAAGTGAGGCCTCTGCCAAGCCACGCCCTCGTTGCCTGATTTTTGCACTCTGCCACTTTTTTCCTATAAAGCGTCCCCGTCGGTCGAGTATTCTTACCCGCACTCCTCTTTCCGTCCAATTACATCCTAATTTCTCCAATTTCATAGCAAGTCTTCCTACAACCTAACTAGGTTGCTTCACTGCCATCTCCAATCCACGAGCTTCATCGAAGTATTCCACCATGGCGTCCTCCGGAAGCGTCTTCTCTGAGACTCTCCAGTCTATCACGACCACCAAGTTGGAAGAGCTCGCCAAACAGCGGGTCACGTTTGAGGAGCAGTACTCTGCCCTGGTTGAGGTTGCTCGCAGCAAGGATGATCCCCTTGACCGTCTTTCTTTCCTCGTTGACGGGGCCAAAGCCTGCTTGGGAGTCAAGACTACCGCGCTCAAGAACAAGGACGGAAAACGAGGCCGCGTCATATCAGGGGGTACCTCCAACCCCCGGTTAGAGACCGACCTCAAGAACCTCGACCGTTTCCTTGAACAGGCCCGTTACGATCCCTCCGTCTCGCCCAAAGTGCTCGAGGACTGGGAAAAGTCGATCCTCCAGTATCTCGCCGTTCAATCCTCCAAATTCCAGTACGCTGATCTTTACGGCAAGCTCGTCACTGAATGGCTCTCCTCCGAGAAAAATGCACCTGCCGACGGCGACATTGAAATGGTCGAGAGCTTCGAAGAACTTCCCACCGCCAAGAAGATGGAGGCACGAAACGAGTGGGAGAAAGTCGTGTTCGAGCCCGCTGCTATCGATGTTCAGAGACTCGAGCAGTACCTCCAAAGCCTGTTCATTACGAGGAAGAAAGACGTTGCCAAGGCCATCAAATCTCTCCGGGACAAGGTCGACGACTTTGAGAGTACCATGGCAAGTTCAGCTCAGTTCAGCGTTCAAACCTTGCGCTGGGTTATCCAAGGCCTCCAGAGCTCAGATCTTCTCACCAACGAGAAGCGCGAGGTTCTCAAGGATTTTTTGAGCAACGAAGTTATCCTCGGGGAGATTGCCGACGTCCTCAATATGCGCATGGCTTCTCTAGCCCGTTGGACCTGGGGCGATCATGTCCCGCTTGAACAGCGCCGAAAGCTGAATGGATCATACAGCGTCCATATGCACGAGGATCTTTTGCAGGCGATCTTCCTACACTATATTGGCGTGAAATGGTCCGTCTTCTTCAAGTCCACTTTCCTAGCCTTCTATAAAGATAAAAGTGCCTGGAAGCCCAATTCTGCAACCATTCCAAAGGCCGACCGCAAGCGACGCGAGTACTACCTTGGAAATCAGGCAATATATCCGAATCTACAAAACGAGCGTCAGCGCAAGCACGGGGGGACTTACTTCATGCACCAGCTCCTTGACCACGACTCGCAGCTCGTTGTGATGCAACAAGGGGAGGAGGAGGCTGAGTTTGGTGATTTCATTGTCGACTCAGAAGATCTTTCAAGTCCACCACGGAAGCGAGCAAAGCAGACCAGGGCCGTACCGCAGATGCAAATGATGCAAAATGCTATAATGATGCAGCAACAGCAGCAGCAGATGCAGCAGGCGATTTCTACCGGTCATCAGCAACAAGTAGCCCGTCAGCACTATCAGGCCCAACCCCAGGTTCAACCTCAGCAGCGGCGACAATCTATAGCTTTCGCGGCAGAGTCTGATGGCGAGGATAACCAGAGCGGGCCTAAAAAGCCAATTGAGGCGAAACAAAATCTCCTTCATCTCCTTTCTACGGAGATTGTGATTAATACAAAGTTGCATAACGAGCTAACTTGCTTTCACTCCGTGTTCGAGTCCTGGAATCCACTCCTCCCGCATGACAGCATTCTGTCGGTCCTTAAGTTCTTCGGTGTGTCTGAAAAGTGGACAAAGTTCTTCAAGACGTTTCTGCAGGCTCCATTGAAGTTCACCGATGACGAGTCGGCAGCCCCACGCCTCCGACGTCGAGGCACCCCGGGGTCTCACGCTCTCAGCGACGTCTTCGGCGAGGCCCTCCTGTTTTGTCTTGAATTCTCCGTCAACCATAGCACCGATGGCGCCTTACTCTACCGGCTATACGATGACTTCTGGTTCTGGTCTCCCGATTATGAAAAGTGCGCCAAAGCGTGGTCGGCAACACTTCAATTCACGAAAGCCATGGGTGTCCAGCTTAGCGAGTCCAAGACCGGAACGGTACGAGTTAGCGGAGACGGTGCCTACAGGCCTATTGATAACCGTCTTCCAAAGGGTCAAATTAGGTGGGGATTCCTTTACCTCGACCCGTACACTGGCCGATTCGAGATTGATCAGAAAATGGTCGATTCTCATGTGCAGGAACTCCGAAAGCAGCTTCAGGGCAAATCGAAGAGCGTCATTGATTGGATCCAAGCCTGGAATACCTACGCCGCCACTTTCTTCAGCTCAAACTTTGGCAAGGCTGCGAATTGTTTTGGGCGAGACCATGTGGACCGGATGCTTGCTACTCATCGTCACATTCAGGAAGACATCTTCGAGGGGGGAAATGTGGTCAGTTTTCTGAAAAAACAAATTGAGGAACGCTTTGGTGTCAAAGACATCCCCGATGGTTTCCTCTTTTTCCCGGTGGAACTCGGTGGCCTCGATCTGAAGTCTCCTTTCGTTGGTCTTCTCCAAATTCGCGAGGGTGTCCGCGAGGACCCCTACGGACTTATGGACGAGTACGAAGAGGCTGAACGAGATGACTACCAGCAAGCCAAGAAAACCTTCGATAAGGGCGACATCCGAAATCTGCGCTACAACATCGAAGATGCCAAATGGAAGCCCACTGATGATGCCGATGAGTTTTTCTCCTTCGAGGAATACATCCGATACCGCGAGGGGTATCGTTCAGGATACAATGCAGATTTAGCGGGTGTGTATCGCGAACTTCTCAGGCGCCCGACTGAGCAGAGTATCGATGTCAGCGTCCAGGTGAAGCAAGCTATCCATCAGCTGTATGGGCAGAACAACTTGAGGGGGATTACTTTCAGCTGGGATAGTATGGAGGCTTACTGGAAGTGGGTTGCACAGATGTATGGACCGGAGATGGTGGAGAAATTTGGGGGTTTGAATGTAGTAGACCCGGGACTGCTGCCCATTGGTATGGTCAGTATGTTCCGTGAGAAGCGCATCAAGTGGCAAGGTTGAAGGATTGGGAATTTCGCGTGTCTAATTACTCGGGATAGCTTTGACGAAATTTGTATCTAGTGGTGGTAGTATTAATAACCGAGGACGCAATTAGCTCTTTTCCTCTCCGTACAGTTCCCCCAAACCACAGCTGTCGGAATGTCACTGATGTACAGTCACCTTATAGCTTAGCGATAACAGTCTCAATTGACCTTCAAGACGTGAACACAGTTTCAACATTTATGAACAATATAAAGACCATTCTTACTCCAATATGGAATTTCATAATATGATTCGACACAGCGTTACTGACAGGGACCGTTCAACACATTTAAAAACGCGCAAAACGGCGCAATTTTTGGCTCACGCCCATCGAACCAGGCAGCAGCTTGACCGTTCCTCCTTTACATTTGCTCTTTCATGCCAGCAGCAGACCCTCGCGTTTCCCAGGGTGCCACCGACCTACGCACATGGCGTATCTGCCCGATACTACATCATGCATTGTGACTTCATCGGACCTTACCATCCACAGATCGGGTGGCGGAGAATTGGTCGGAGTGGCCAATGCAGCAATCCAGGTGTTGTCCTCCAGACTTTTGTGACCTTCGAGCCGGGGTTTCCGGCAATTCTGATAACGCCAATATGTCGCTCGTGACGTTTAATAAACTCACTTGCGAGGAACCAGTTTTTTAGCTTTGAGGCTGAATAATTATCGTTGATTTTGTCCGAAGGTTTACATCAAAGTGATATTCCAAGCCCTGTTTCGTCTAAAATACCTTCTACCTGGTTCTGCAATGTGCCAGAACAGGGCTTGGTTGAATTTCATGAGTACATGTGTGTGGCGCGGCTGTATAAAGCCTGCCGCCGAATACTTCGATCCAAAGATCCTCTATGGCCAGATAGAGAATTTATTCTCCATTGCCACGATGTGGATCCTGTCTCCATTGGCGGCCCACTGTAGTCTATTTCTGAACATCGTGCGGAACCCCAGTTAACGTTAGGTATCTCTACCGTTTAATCCGCTCAAGATAAAATATCCTATAACTATAGGAAAGCCACTGAAGAAAGAGATGACCAAAATGAGGAGTTTCAAGAACCCAAATATTTATCAGCGCATATTTTCGAGATGGGATGGCTGTTGAGCTCTCAACGATAGGAGAAATCGAAGGATTCTTGGATTGCCCGATTGACGCGATGTATGTATCATGTGGCCTCTCCCGGGCTTTTAGCTAGACAAAACAATTTTGTGGAGCCTTCTTAGCCTTCCGGATCTTCTTCCGAACCAGTGGCTACGGACGAAACTTCGGGAAATTTTGGAAGACTGGCCGCGTTCGCATCCTGTTGGCTCTACTTCGGTTGACTCCGAATTCATCACGTTTGCTTGCAGATCTAAGACCTCATTCTCAAAAGAACTTCAGCTAAGCAGTGCTTTACTTCGATTGACTCTGGATTCATCAGTTTCCTTGCAGATCTAAGACCTCATTCTCAAAGAACTTCAGCTAAGCAGTGAATTGAACCCATAAGGCTAAACAGTTTCTCATCTCGTTACCTGGGGCATATTCAGCAAGGCGGTAAAGTTCATGGGGCCTGCAAAAGGCCAAGACGGGGCAATTGCGATGTCTGCCTCGGGGGACCAGCCACTCTTAGTCACAACTCCAGAACGATTCTTGCCACGTCTAAGCCTAAATATTACCGGGTATTGTACCGGAAACTGGAGACATGAAGAACTGGATCCGAGCGACTTGTGTTGATGGAAGTCATGTCAGGAACTTTGCGCGAGTTCTCATCGTAATAAATTTCACATCTCATATCCCATTGCCCCTGACCTTGCATGCCCTTGTGATTCCTTTTTTTGCTTCCTTGATTATATGTTTTACGTTTGATGCCTCGAAGATTACACCTGGTGAAGGCGACAAAGTACATTAGTCCGGACAAATCGTGATCAAGCAAATGAAAATTATGCACAAAAGAAGCCATGACCTACAAAAGGGACGTTGCGTTGACAGCACCTACCCCAAACAGAGCTTGGTCATGACAAAGTTTGTCCCTTTTATTGTCCCTTCTTGGTAGAATCCGGGAGAGCTTTAGGTGAATGCAAATTCCTGTCCAAACCTTACCCTGGCATGTCCAGTGTTAATAGGCAAAGCATTCAAGTTACCCGAAGGAGTATCATTCAATATCCATACTTATCACACCACGCCATGATGGAAGGATGGAATGGCGTAGAACCCTCGGCCCATGCTCTTAACCGACCTACTATCAGAATTACTTCCTCAGAATCCGGATGATCAGCCCCCATGCACATAATATTATACTTCATCTCTTCCTCTGCCCATTTTAAAGCCGATTTCCGGTTTCCAAGTTTAAGACTGTAGTACGCTGCCGTGTGATAGCTATCCTATGTTAGATCCATCCTATGCAAGTAAGCAGGAGATCATGTGAACATACCAGATCCCAAGATCTCTGGTCCACAACCCCTCGTCCCGCTGGATCACGGCCATTTTCTCCGCCACTTGCAAGCAAGCCTTATACGACGGCGCGGAAGTAAGTACTTGCTCTAAGTCATACAACTTCGCTCGATTTTCCTCGCCGCGCCTATTTCGATCGGTATCCACGCACGCCAGACACTGGCATTCTATCCCCCAAGACTCGAGGTCATCTTGACGTTGGTGCTTCATGTGATTTGTAGCATTAATGTACGAGATCGTAAGCTCTTCGTCTTTCTCGATATCCCGGACAGCGTGGAAAGTGCCCATATCCAAGTTCTCATTGAATCGGTAATACAAGTTTGGGAGGCAAGAGTGGTTGATTCGGCTTGCAAGGAGATACATGTAATACACGTACGTGTTCGCGGACCAGATAGAGATTATATCACGGTGAATCTCAGGAATTTGCTGCCAATCTCGCTTGAGCTCTGTTTCGACTTTACGTTTGAGGGACTCGGGGGTGCGGCAGCAGAGTGTTAGGAACTCGGTTTGCTGCAGGGTCGTGAGGTTTTTGAAAGCACGGAATACTGAACTGCATTGGTTGCGGTTGCTTAGAATTGAGATGATGGGAGATTCGGCAAGTACGCGGATTCCTTGGGGGATTCTTTCCTTGGTGAAAAGGCCGAGGCCTTTGCCTGGTGCTGGTCGGATTTCGATGAGATGGCGAGCGTCTAGGAAGTTATCAAATTATCAGAATAGTTAAGAAATTGGTAGTACCTTGGGACATTACGAGGTGCTACGATCCTTTTATCTCCGGGAAGAAACTGTTATCGGCGAAGGCCTCCGAATCGAAGTGAAGGAGTTCCAGTCAGGTTGGGTGCAACGAGTTCAATCTAGAAATCGAAAAGAGAAGGCAAGGAGTGGGGATCAGACGCAGGATAAGGACCGTTAATATCTTCTATTTACCGATTTAGGGTCAGTGACATCACGCCAGACAACCTACTTTCCCTAAAGAGGCCGAAAAGCACCTTCACTCCAAAATGGGCAACTTCCAATCCACATAGTTAGCCACAGAAACAGTAATAGCGCTCTTGAAGACCTCCGTATCTGCGCTCTCGTTCCTGAACATGTACCGATCCAAGAAAGCCTGTAACTCCGGCATCTGAGCTACCGGAAACTGGCAATGCGGATGAGAGCCCACAAGACTAAACCCAAACGATGAACTCTCTCCCAAAGCCTCATACAGCATTTTGCCCGCCCGTGAACACACCGTCGTGGATTCTGGATTGAGCCAGTCGATGTCATTTTCAATGATAAGCAGCCCACGCGGTGCAACAAGGCCGATTAACTCATGATGATCGAAGGGAAGTCTGTTGAAGTCGAGGCCGATATTGCTCGGAAAGTCTCTCCGAAACCAATTATTACCCACGTAGATAGGCTGGGTCTCGGGGATGCAATGCCCTCTACATGTTCGGTAGAGCCGCCAACATCCCGAACCTCCCTGGCCGGCTTCTTGGGGGATCGTAAGAGCAATGCGGAAGTCGAGGGCGCCAGCGACGAGGGCACCCTTGGCGTTCCGAGAGCATCCTGTTACGCCGAGTCGCTGGACATCGATCTTGGTGACATCTGAACCGAGGAACTCAAGCGCATCGATGACGCGCGACACACCCCAGGCCCAAGCTACAAGAACGCCAGCGTTATGGCTAGGGCCATAGAGATCGTAGAATTTACCTACGCCTCGACCGTTTGATTGCTGTCCAAGCTGATCGTTGTTGAAGATGATGGTGGCGATGCCGGTGTTGTTGAGTGGAATGCTGGCCGCACCGTATGCGATGATAGCTGGGAATGGTCCGTCGCTAGAGTTTGTGGGTAGATTGATCTTCACCATGAAGCTAACTCTCTTTGCCCCCTCCTCGATGTTAATAGTGAGCTTACCGTCTGCAAACGAGGCATTGACAACGGAGGGTTTTGGTGGCTTTGTTCCGAATTCGAACTGCTCCATCAGAGCCACCAGCTCCTCGTGACGACATCCCCAATCGCTTTTCGATGTGACAGGGTCCCCGGATATAAAAGTGAATGGGTTAGGGAATCTAGAATTCGCCGTCGTAGCATTGGGAAGTAGTGAGGGTGAGCATGTTGCTCTCGAAACACGGCTGTACAGCAAGCCAAAAAAGATCCAAAACAAAGATAGATACAACATGGCTCACTTGCAATTAGAGACAAACAAGGGTGATAAGTCGGAAACGATATCGAAGATCAGCGGAGATTGCGCATCTTCGATCCAGAGTCAGCAGGAGTCGAGGATATAAGGCAGCGTGAATATTTAACCATATAGTGATATGGAGAGATGTCGGTGACCGGAGTGTGGTAGAAAATTAATGATGGGAATCCTCCAGTGATATATTTTCCTTGGCAAGTCCCATATGCACACCACTTCATCACCTAGGTAGTTTGCAATGCGGACGGAGTACCACATTAGGGATATCCCAAATCCTGAATAGCGCTCACAAAGGTTGGTATGAAGACAAAAAGTCGACTTGAGAGCTTTAGGATGAACAGTAATGGAAAGGCTTGACATTTCATGTTCTCAATGTTTCGTCTTCACACAATTCCATCAAATCACACTTGAACTAAGATACGGCCTAAGCCCAAGTCTTGCAACTAGTCGTTCGTGTGGCTTTCAATCAGTCTGCATAGGCCCTCCTGGATTCACCCCGGTCTTTCCCACACAGACACCCTCGCAAAACGGCGAGTAAGGAGGACACTTTTCAACCGCGACGCAACGCATGCCAACCGGACAGTCTGGATCATGTCTCGTGTCGCACTTCAAACTCGGTCCCTCAGTGGTTGCCTGCGTTTCCATAGTCGCTGTAGGGGAGGGAATGGGGAAGCACACTCCACGATAATTGCTGGTTGAGCCTGGTCCGCACGTTACCGGTTGCTTCGAGGGAGTTGTTGGCGGTGCAGAAGTGGAAGGAATTAGAAAGCAATAACCACGGTAATTCGTTGTCCAACCTGGAGAGCAAGTCACTTGGCGTTTCTCGATCGGTGTCACTGATGGAGTGAAAGTATGCGTGAACGACCGACACATACCGCGGTAATCTTGATACGAACCCGAAACGCAATCATCTGTAGGAGTTGGAGTAGGCTTGCACAAGCCGCGATAATCGGTGGTCCATCCTGGGGAGCACGTGTGAATAGTTGAGGTCGGCGTCGGTGTCGTGGAACGACAGAATCCGCGGTAGTCGGGCGTCATTCCCTGGGCACAAGGAGTCGTTCGTGTTTCCGGAAGCGCGGTTGCTGGAACTGTAGCTCGACAATACGAATATCCTCGATAATCTGCAGTATATCCAGGAGGGCATGTCAACGTTGATTTAGACGACGTAGCTGTGGTAGTTGGGCGGCAGCCATATCGGTAATCTCGAGTATAGCCCGAAGGACATGTTGCTGTGGTCGTGGTTGAGATAGGAGAACATGTACCGCAGAGCTCGTCCGGTTCCAGCTGGGTACAGAAACGTGCAATAGGCTGACATGCATAGCCCGTCGGACATGCTGGCTCGTAGCTCAGGACTCCACAGATGGACGGTAATGGAGGAGAGGGAGTGATCGTAGTCAGAGGCGGCGCGGCAAGCGACCAGCCAAGCACAGACAAGCCTACAACAAATTGCAGAAACATTGTGACGAGCATGTACTGTAGGAAAAAAAAAACACTGCAGGATTGTGCAATGGTTGCCCAAGAAAGATTCTTGGCTCCTCTTTATATTTCTTAGAATACGAATCGCTCCAGCGAGTACGAGGGACCACAGTCCTACGGTGGGTTGACCTGCGCAGAAATTAAATAGAAGGGGAAGTAGGCATTCAGCGCTAATCCAATCAATAATTAGATTACTGTAGTACAATAGTCGTATAGGCTCGAGCACCTCGCATTCCGTATAAATGGCTGAAACGGATACTGGTGGAGAACTCGGAACGATCCAGGACCAGGGTCGGGAAAATATAAGATCGGCCCGCGGCAGAACGCATGTACATACAGATATGCGAGAAACAGATATTCGGTCGTTATCATGTCATCCGATGATAGAGCTTCCTTGGTGCTTTGAAAGAGGGGCAAGTTTGTTGGTTTCATGCCTGCGTCTGCATGCAACCGCTTAGTTGGGTTATCTGATGATTCTTCTACCAGATCACTTCGATCTCCGCTTGAAACTCCAGTGGTTCCTCGGATCTTGGAGTAAATTATTCCAGATCTGCATATTGGGAGTCCAAGGTCCATCTTTCATCATGATAACTTCCTGCGCAAGCTTGGCGTACTTGACAGCTTGCTTCGAATTGCCAACAGCATTGTAGGCCAGCGCAGCAAATCCGTAGGGAATATCAAGGAATCCTTCCAAGCCTTCTTTTCGATAGAGCTGGAGCATTTTCTCGGCCAATTCCGGACTCCCACTTGAGGTCACGGACCAATCGTTCAGGGCACTCTCCATGTCTCTCATCTGTTGAAGATTGGAGTCGGACTTGCCCTTTGCGAGACAGCGAGGACACGAGCAGGTGAAGTGAAATCCTTCCCACAGGTGGCGTTGGCGTAGTTCAGTCGGTTCAATGGGTGAGGTATCTATAACTTGTTAGACTTGATGAATTCAAGGGACGGCGCTTTTCGCACAAGAGATGGTGATTTCTTCACCAGGAGCAATTGGTCGGGTCGCATGTACGATATGAGTCAGACGCGAAGGGTCGAGAAAATATTGAGCACTATTTCGTCAGTTTACACACATCATGAACTCAAAGACAAAGTGGGCTTACTTTGGCGCACAGGCATGATTCAGCCGTGACGTCTCAGGGAAAACGGCGAGATGGTTCTGTCCGCCAATGTGTAACTGAAAAGTATTCGCTTTTACGATGTCTTGAATACGAATCCTGGGGTCACCATATATAGTGGCAAGCTGTAGACAGTTGTCGCGGGTAGCGTCTGGAAGCTGGGAGACCGCAATTCGGAAGTACTTCTCACGCTCAAGAGTCGATAGCTCCTGTTCATGGTGGGCGAGCAGCGCAGGTGTATACGTTGTCACACGATCTCTAAACTTTAGCTGTTTCTTTGCTAGCATTCCTATGCCTTTTCCGGGCAGCTCTTGCGTATACCAAGCTCCAGAATTGGTGTTGACATCTTGCATTGATGCGGGATCTTGGAACGGTGGCAATGCCGCGAACTCTTCTGCGATTTTTGGGGTAGTGAAGATAGATATGCCTCTTCCATCGCCGAATGACGCATTTGTATAGACACATAGCTTACTTTCTAAAGAATCTAAGAATTGAGTGCAGACGGGTGGATAGGACCAGGGACCGAAGTTCTTCGGTAGTGACAAGGAATGTACTACGGGAGGATTGTCGGTACTAGTTACGAGCTCGGCGAGTCCATCTTGAGAGCACTGCAGAACTACTGAATGGAAAGGCGCTTCATGCCAGCATTGTTGTATGATGATTCCAGTGGACAAAGCTGGGTTGGCGAATAAGACGTTGCTGAAAACGAGGAGAGAAAAAAGGAACAGAAGTGGCCCCATTGTAATATTGGACGGTGAGAAACAATGGTTGCTTGGCTCTCTTGAGAACGTGATTGATGGGATGGCCACTGAAGGAGGGAAGACACCAAACTCCCCCAGGGAGCTGGGTGGTGATGAAACAAGACATTTGAGATGGTGGATGCTATTTTTGGCTCATCATGAGATGCTTAGTCATGTACGTACAGAATGCGACTAACCCGACAGGACAAGACATTTCACCAAGGGACTGTTGAAACAAATAAATTGGGTATATTTATCTTATCGAACAATATAAACAGAGATCCATGGCCCGTAATGCTGCACAAACCTGCTGATAACAAGGCCCATATTCTCATCCAACGCCACAGCTAAACTAGCGAAAGGCTGGCAAGATAGCTCAGTTTGATTACGTAAAAGAACAGATGGGTTCCGAGCTATAGAAAGTGTGATATAGCGAGCTCTGAGGTGGTTGTTGGCAGCTGCTTTTAGAAGAACCATCCTGGTCTGCCCCAAGGCAGAGTAGGTTAATCGTCACTACTGTTTATCTCTCCATGCTCCCTTTTCTTCTTCTTTTTCTTTTCCTTTCCCTCCCCACCTTCACGTTTCCTCTTCTTGGGTTTCGCCCCATCCTCGGCAGGGGGCACGAATTCCTTGATCCGGTCCTTCCTCCTCTCCTCTTGCTTCGCCTTCATCTTGGCCTCACGCCCCTCCCTCGTCTTTCGCTCTCGCGCTTGTTTTCCCAGGAAATATTCTCCACTCTCAATCTGCAGGTCAACTTTGCTCTTCTCCTGGGGCGGTGGGAATGGCGTGTAGACCTTCTTCGTCTTGTCGGTGACCTTGTACGGAACTCGTCTCTTGCTCAAGCTCCGCTTCTTGAAATGCGGGAGAAAGCGATCCCAGTTCTCGTTGACCAATTCTGGGTCTTTGGCTAGCTCTTTCTTGATCATAAGCTCTTTGATAGCGTAGATAGGGTGGATATTGGCCATAGTGTCTTCCACGACCCTCCGAACGGTCTTGAGGCCCTTGTATGATCCCATTGCTGCCACTGTGTTGCCCTGAACCAGGATATAGCACTCGGTGAGCAGTTCTAGCGCTTTCAATGTGGAACCGTTGGGACCTAGTATCCGCTGCCGGCGCTTAACGAAGCGCTCCTTATTTCGCACAAGATTTCGGATTTTGATGACATCGCATGCGACGTCGTCTTCCAATATCCTTACCGCCTGGGGAGCGGGCACACTCCTTGCGAGTAGTTTTATCAGATCGCGCGCATTCAATATGGCTGCTGGGTCATAAGTTTTCCGTGTCGTCTTAACTGTCATGGAACCTTCAACCAAATCTAGGGTGCATGCAATGCCAATTTTCTCTAGCGATTTTGTGATGAAAGGCCAGGCGCCTCGGAGGTACTGTTCGCGATATTTGGGGAAGAGGGTTGCGAAGGATGATTCTTCAAGGAAGGTTCCGCCCACATTGTCTTCTGGGGTGAACTTGTCGATCTATGAAGTAGCTTAGTATGTGGCATAATATTGTCAGAGTGGCTGTGTACACACCTTCCACTTGTCAATATCTTCGGTATCCCACGGCTTCTCCTTCTTGTGTGTGGACGGCATAACTGGGGTAGCGGTGTTGTGTAGATTAATTGGATTGGGAAAATGTATGAGACGTCCAAAGGCCTCACGGTTGGTGGCAGGACTTTTCGTCCATCACCGCCCGGCAGAAAAATACTTAGCGTCTATCTGATGCCAAGGCCGCAGTGGGCATGTCGGGACCAACAGCCTCCCCTTTAAGGAATTGTTCACGTCAACTCAATGCTCTATTCAGGACAGACTTAATGCCGGGCACCGTGGCCTCCTCGCACTGGAACTACGTCGTCGGAATGGAGTGCTCATTTCCAACTTTGTCCGTGTCCCCCGACCTTCCTAACATACACAACATCACTCGACCTGCAGATAGCTGAATCATGGTGCACATCGTCCAAGAACGGAGACTCAATGTCTGGTCAGGCGCAACGATGGTTGCCTCTTTGTCTGTTGCACCATAATATGTTTTGCTTGGCTTTGCACTGAAGATGTTCAAACCTAGGTATATTAAGCCCTCCAAGCATCTGCAGAGAGCTCCAGTCCAATAACTAGTGCCTCCTTTTCTCCTATTCTAGCCTTGTTTTCAATCAATAATATATGTCTCCTCGAATCTTATTCCTGTGTTGCCATTCTCCAGCCTCCCACTTCCATGGCTGATTTTGACGCTCCGGAGTTCATCCGCTATGCTGCAGTTCCCAAGCACTCCAAAGGCCCAGGCGATGCCCAACCCACAGCTATGCAGATTGTGAAAGACAATGACCTTGAAGGTAAAAGCTCCATTTTTATTCGGCCAACAGATTATTAACCATGTAGCGGGAAAGCTCGCAAACAAAGTCATCCTCATTACCGGCGTCTCATCCAGCATCGGCATTGACACGGCCATCGATATGAAAGCTACGGATGCTCATATTTCGGCACCGGACGGGACCTTGCTAAAGGTCAGGAAGCTCTAGGCGAGCACCTCGAGCCGGGGAAACTCGATCTCCTCCTGGATCTCAACTCGCTCGCGTTTGTGCGGAGTTTTGCTGCAGACTTTTTGGAGAAGAGCCATGGCCAACTAAACATCCTCATAAACAACGCGGGCGTCATGGCTACACCAGAAGGCTGCGCAGTTGACGATTTCAAGACCCCAATCTAGCACAAACCATCTAGCACATTTCGTGCTATTCCATCTACTTGAGCCTGCTCTCCTACCCAGTTCAATTCCAGGGTTGTGTGCGTATCGTCAATGGGGCATCGATACAACGAGATCAATTTCGACAACCTGAATCTAGAAGGTGAATACGAGCCGAACAAGGCCTACAGTCAAAGCAAAGTCGCAAACATCTATATGGCTAACCAAACCGAGCGACGATACAGTGCACGCAGTCTCCACGGTCTCTCATTGCATCCTGGTGGAATATGGGATGGCTCTGGGCGTCAGGTACACGTTGCAGACTTGGCGGAAGAATGGAAGAAGACTCCAGGCGTTGCAGAGCATCTCAGGAGTCGGTCCTAGGGAGCAGCGACGACAATGTGGGCTGCGATCGGGAGGGTGTGGGAACGCAAAGGTGGAAAGTATTTAGAGAATTGCCAAGTTCCTGGGCCGGTGAGAGACGGGTACTACTTTTTGGAGGATGGGTATGAGACGTGGGCGTATGATCAGGCAAAGGAGGAGAGACTTTGGAAGGTTTCTTGTGAGCTTGTGGGTGTCAAGTGTGAGTAGAAAGACTAGCTGGTTGAGAGTAGACTTCGACATGTATGCAACTTCGAATCTGATCCGTTTAAACAACAATCAGATGGGATTCAGATGCGCGTAGAAAAAATGGTCCCGAGAAAGTTATCATGCTTAAATCACCGGCAAGATGCCTAGAAGCCCTGGAGTGTTGCTGAGGTCATATCACGTGTAACACTACCCGAAGTTCTGCCGGGGTTTCTAACTCAAGTGGCGTTCAGCCTCCGACTTCCACTCCGCAACTCTAACAGAACGCTACAAACTACACCTACACGAACCTCCTCACCACCCTCACTACCATGCCGAAAGCCGAATTTGGCTCTGCCAAATATGTCGCCAACAAAATGAAAAGCAAAGGCCTCCAGCGCCTGCGTTGGTACTGCCAAGCCTGTAACAAGCAATGTCGCGATGCCAACGGCTTCAAATGCCACGCACAATCCGAATCCCACGTGCGGCAAATGCAACTTGTGGGTGAAGACCCACGCAAATATATCGAAGACTTCAGCCGGGAATTCAAATCTGCGTTCATAACCCAACTGCGGATCTCGCACGGCGAGAAGTTTGTCGGCGCGAATCGGTATTATAACGAGTACATTCGGGATAAGGAACATATGCACATGAATGCGACAAAGTGGGCAAGTTTGACCGAGTTTTGTAAGTATCTTGGGAGGGAAGGGATTTGTTTTGTTAAGGAGGATGAAAAGGATGGATTGATGATTGCGTGGAGGGATGTTAGTCCAGAGGCGGTTAGGAGGAGGGAAGAGATTCGGGAGATTGAAAGGGCGGAGGCGAGGGGGGGCGCGGGCGAGGATAAGATGATGAAGAGGATGGTGGCGAGAGCGAGAGCAGAGGCAGAGGCCAAGGCGAAGGTTGAAGAGGAGAGGAAGGCAGGGGAGAAGAGCGATGCGACACCGCCGGCAGAGGAGAAGGCGGAAGGCAAGAAGGAGGGGGAGGAAAAGGGGGAGGGGGAGGAGGAGGAGAAACCGGTGGCACCGGCACCACCTGTCAAGCTGAGCTTTGGCTTGAAACCAAAGACCATTCCGGCGAATAAGGCGGGTTTAGGAAAAATGAAGAGTCAGAGTGTTTTCAAGCGTATGAGGACCGAGAATGGAGAGGATAAGGCTGCCAAGAAATTGAAGGTTTGAGAGAGTCGATTCTTTCGTATCAAGCATAGCGTGGAGTTCTGGGCTTCGATTCACCGACCTTGTTTATGGGGCCGGTGCTGGTATTTGGCTTCGGGGGTTCACTAATGGGGTATGGTTAGGTGATATCATCCAACAGCTACCTCGTGGGTAATAAACTTGCCCATTAAGAGGGTGCGATACTTGCATTTGAGGTTCACCAGTGTATGTGGCAGCACTTGCCTTTGTCTAACTTATGACCAACGGGCTCACACAACCCAGATGACGATTTTTAAGTCTTTGGGCTACGACCTAACAAACACTGTATTTCGAAGAACACTCCCACTGCAGTATGAACTTGTCATGTTCTGCTAAGGTAATGTGAATATATACTTAAGAGGACGGCAATACCCGCTTTTTAAAGACCCAATGTAGGTAATAACCATAACGCCTCATCCATGCACGCATACTGCTTCCATGAACTCCATGGTGCCAAAGCTTGGGGTATCGGGAGAAGAAATTAACCACTAGCTCATATAGCCGTCCCGCGCTCGAAGGACTCGCGTATTGAGGTCGTATATCTATTGTAGAACCGCGATAGCTTCTCGTTGAATTGCCGATTCTGCAAAACGTCAGTACAAGTCCAACCCCTCGGCCTACAACCAATCTACACAATCCACATACCTTCGCATTAATATACGTAACATCCCCCGTCTCTTCCTTCTCCACCCTCTTCTTCTTCCTACTCTCCTCAGCTCTATCCAAATCCCTGACCAACCTATCCACCGCCTCCTTACTCGGCCTATGCTCAAAATCATATGTCTCCTCAACCGGCTCATCAATCCTGCCATCCGCACGCACAGTAAACACATCCCCCTCTTCCGTCTCCACTAACTCCAACAATCCCATTCGCACCTGCTTCTCCAGCTTCTGTGCCTTATTCCGGATATACTCGTCCCGATCCACCTTTACAAGATTCTTGACCTGGCGCTTGTACGTCTTATTCGCCTCGGCTCGGAAATCGGTAAAAGAGGTGTTGTCTTTATTCCGGGCCTTCTTGTTCTGCCTTTTTTCCCACAAAGCATCCTCGTCGGCCGTGTAGTCCCAGGCGCGCTTGCGCTCGAAGTCGGGGTCGGAGTCTTTGAGCAGTTTTATTTCAGTGGCGTCGAGGCGTTGGTGTAGTTTTTTGAGCTCCTCGGGGGAGACCTTTTTCGAACGCTCTTCGTCGCGGACGGCGGTGACGTTGGCTTTGCGCGCGTCGGCTGCGAGGGTTTTGAGGGCAGCGAAGCGGGCTATGCGCGCTTGGAGGGCGGCTTTGGGGTCGGGTAGGGGTTCTGCAGACGGGGCGGGAGATGAGGGCTCTGCGGGGGCATCTGGAGGAGGCGGCTCGGTTTTCTCGATGTCGGCCATGTTGGACGTTGGGGTTGTATTTTGACGGGAGAGGAGTGGGGATGGGAGCAAGCTGGGTTTCACGTGCGCCAAGGGCGGCTTGGAAGCTAGAGACAATCACGTGCCAGGTACCACCACGAACTTAGGAGTGCTTCGTACATTCATACGATGCGAAGCAGAAAGAGAGAAGCACCTTTGCTATGAAACATCGTGTCGCCAAGCAGGCTGCAAGTGGTGGGATACTTTTCGCCATGAATAGTAGGGGCTAGCGAACATCTCGATTTGAGGAATAGGAACACTTATTTCAAAAATTCGTTCACTCCTAGAAATTTGACCGCAATCAAGATGAAGGATTAATGGGTTGCATGATATGGTTCTAATTATATTCCTACATCCATCTAGAAGATCTTACTTAGAACCCTCTTGACCTCGTCTGCATTCTCCACCTCTTTCTCGCCCTTCAATTTAACCTCATTCTGTTTGAATGTCCGCCTTGGCACTTTGTCAACCTCCCTACTCTGTATCACTTTACCCTCTCCTGTGCCGTCTTCTCCGGCATTCTCAAATGCCTTCTTACTCTTCTGCTTGCTCTCCATCCCTTGCAACATCTTACTTCTCTCCAGATTCTCCAAAAACATCTTATTCTCCTTCGTATTCTGCGCAATCTCTGCTCGCATCCTAGCTGTCCTCTCCGCATTCTCATTCTGAAGTCGTTCGACGAGATGGTGCCACTTCAATTTATGCAGATACTTGATATTCCACACTTCATCATGCCACCTCCCTCTCTTCTTGCCACCAATGATCTGCGCGTTCAAACTTTCACTGACGAACTTGGCGTCCTTCTTGGACAAGAATTCAACCCAGCCGTCAAGGTATAGCTTGCGACGATTCCCCCCGGATTTAAGGCGTGAGGTGCGTAATGTCGAGGATTCTTGTTGGAGGAAGATGCGGTTTATAGCGCCATAGGGTTCTAGAAGAGAGCGTAGGACGGAGGGTTTCATAAATGGTGGGACACGGGAGAGGTAGATTACCCCAGAGCGGTCTTTCTTGGGTTTGACTGGCTTTGCAGGTTTCGGTGTGGTTTTGGAGGCATTGGGATTTGATGTTGTGGAAGTAGGAACTTCTTGGTCTTTGAGGCATTTGAGGGTGTTGCCGCTATTTTCTATGCCTTCGTCGCTCTGGGCCTGCTCCTCTTGTCCGTCTTCGTCCTCTTCTGCAGATTGGTGGGCGGTTTTCCGGCGTTTCGACGATCGCAGGATATGCGATCTGCTCTCTTCTTCAGAATCGTAGCCTCGCTCATCGTCATCGCTTTCCTCAGCTTCAAGCCACTCGTTTCTTTTTCGCGTTGCCATTTGGATTCCGGTGTTGCTGCTGTGCATTTGCTGCGCGGTGGAATTGCAGGTCCAAGGAATTTACAATGGGATTCCTTGGCGCCCGCGGGCGGCTTTCCCACGGCTTGGCACTGTTCGCTCATCCTGGCCTGTGATTCGCTTCTTTACGAGTATTATATCGGACTCAACGACAACCCTCACCAAAACAACATTATCTGACCACAATGAATACCCACGACGATTTACTCCACTGGGCGCTAGCAAAAGGCGTTCAATCAAATGGGATCTTACTTCAGGCAATTTGCGGCAGAGGCGTCGGAATTGTTGCAGCACGGCCACTCGAGGTAAGCTTTCCAGCCTTTGATTTAGAAATAATTCTGACTTAAAAAAACAGGCGGGAGAGGTCCTTCTGACCGTCCCAGCGGAGGCTTTCCGCACTCTGCATACTGTGCCCAAACATATCTCTCGGAAGCTTCCACGAGATATTTCCCTCCATGCACTCTTGGCAACGTGGCTCGCTTTGGACAACAGGTCCGACTTCGCACCCTGGAATACTATGTTTCCGACCCTGCCCGACTTCGAGGCCGGTACTCCGCTCCTGTGGCCAGAAGAACTCCAGGATCTCCTCCCTAAGCCTGCCAAGGATATCCTGAGGAAACAGCAGTTCAAGTTCCAGCGAGACTGGGACATTGTCTCAAAGACCTTCCCAGATATCAGCCGCGAGAAGTATTTGTACTCTTGGTTACTCGTCAATTCGAGGTCATTCTATTATACAACTCCAAGAATGGAGAAACTTCCCCACGACGACAGGCTGGCTTTGATGCCGCTAGCAGATCTGTTCAACCACGCAGATAGCGGCATTGAAACGAGTTTCTCGCGACAGAGCTACACCTTCACGACAGACCGCGCATACCGCGAGGGTGAGGAGATTCATGTCTCCTATGGTGGGCATTCCAATGACTTCCTCCTCGCTGAGTATGGGTTCGTACTGGCGGAGAATCAGTTTGATGCCGTATATCTCGATGAGCTAATTCTCCCACGCTTAAACAAAGAGCAGGAGGATGCTTTAAAGGACAAAGCGTTTCTAGGTAACTATACGCTGGATCGAGAGACACCAGGGTGTTTCAGAACGCAAGTGGCATTGCGGATATTTTGCTGCACACGGAAGGAATGGGAACGTTTTACAGACGCTGAGGTTGATAGCGAGCGCTCTCAGCGCAGGGTCAATGTTCTATTAGTGCAACTCCTGGGTCGATTCGTGGGGGAGATTCACCAGACCCTGGGGGAGATAGAAAAGCTAAATGTGGGTCTGGAGTGTCAACGAAAACTTCTCGCGCAAAGGTGGAAGCAAATAGAGACCATGGTCACACAGACGCTAAAACGTCTCAGCAATTGACCTGAAAATGGAGGAGCGTCATGTCCACCGCGAGATCAACGTCCCCTCTTCAACTAAAACACACATTTCGCAAGGCTACGGCCTTGAGAGAGCTCGTCAGCAGTAGGTCCCAGACATGGATTGACCATTGATATTGCCCTGCGAGTTTAGAACCATATCGGTTTCGCGGGTAGGTAGGCGACAAATTCCTTCATTGTATGACGCTGAATAAATATATAGCTGCACCAGTGTGCCTCGAGGAGCCCCAAATTAATACTCTTCAATCAGCCCAGTGTGATTCGCGGCAACATTTACACTTCCGCATTCTCCAATGGGAAGGAGTCCCTGGAACATACCTGCAAGACATTAGAAATTTTAATAAAGTCAACTTCATAGCAGGCACTAGCAATCGTCGTGGCTTTTTTATTTCCGACTACGCAAGGTGTTCTGCTGAGAGCTGCAGTACCACTCGAATTCCATCGTCCAGCACTGCAATGTGTCCTGGTCCATATTCTCGAGCAGTAACTAACCCAGACACCTGCCATCTTGATCGTCATCATCACCTATTTCAGCCTAGACTTCAGCGTCTTGCTCTAGCAGTTCCCATACAACCCCGTCGTGTCCTCGCGTCAGTAGCAGGCGTACCGCTAGTTCATCCCCAATCCTGGAGGCCAAATGGAATGCGGAACACCTATCTCGTGTTTTAATCCAGCATCAGCTTCGGCATCTAGCAGGACCTTTACTACTGTGACTTTTCTGCGCTTCAATGCACTGGTTAGTGCCGTTCACTTCGAACAATGCACCGCGATGTCGGTCCATTTATTTACAAGTCGTTGCACTCTCGGCCATTCACTGTATTTAGCAACCCACACAATGCTCCTAATCTATTGTAATGCTCGGCATCAACATCAGTGCTTTCCTTAACTATATATCCCACCATCCACAATGCCCTCTTTCCGCCTCCACACCAATACAACAATCTTCGGCTGCACCGCCACCCAAGCTTACAATATTTTAGCAAGTCTATTAGCAAGAATCTGTGCTGATTGAGGGAGGCCCTTTATTGTTGAATCCACCTGACCATTTTGTAGGTTCTGTGAAATCTTGGAGGCGCCACTGTTTACGAAAGACAATCGTGCATAGACGCTAATCGAGGATGCCGATGCCGCAGTGGGGTGCAAGTCGAATTATGTAAGGCTTGGCAGAGGCTGGGCAACGATGCTGGTGGCGGACAAGTTCAACCTTCTCAGCTCCTGCATCTCCATTCACCACTTCACTTCCTCGCCATTCCCGACACATCGCCACAACTATGGGAGGCGATCTAAACCTCAAGAAATCATGGCATCCCCACCTCCGCAAGAACCAGGAGCGTGTGTGGAAAGAAGAGAAATCTGCCCTTGATGAGCGCAAACTCATCGAGAAGCTGCGCAAGGAACGCGAGGAGGAGCGCGCCATCGAAGAACTGCAGAAACTCCAGGAAGCTGCTGGCGGGAGAGTGGCGACTAAGCGAGTGGACTGGATGTATAACGGCCCCAGCGCAGATGGTCAGGGTGTGTCTGAGGAGCGGGAAGGTTATTTGCTAGGCAAGAGGAGGATTGATGGTTTGTTGAAGGCAAATGATACGACAACGCAGACTCTGGGCAAGGGTGCTGCAGCGAGCATCGACACAGTCACCGGCAGTAATGCGAACACGGCCCGCGATACCCAGATGAAGGTGGCCCAGGATCCGCTGCTCATGATCCAGAAGCAGAAGATGGAGATGCAGCTCAAGGCTTTGAAGGAGGCACAGCGGAAACAAAAGGATGGAGATAAGCGCGAGAAGAAACACAAGCACCGACACCATAGCCGCCGAGATCGATCACGCTCGACAGACTCTGGAGAACGAGACAGTCGCCATCGCCATCACCGGCGTTCACGCTCCCCGCGTCACCGGGATGGCCGAGATGAAAGGGACACCTATCGTCGCCGCTCTCCATCTCCACGTAGGAGGGACAGCCGGGACGATCGTCGACGGTCGCGCTCTCCATACAGACGGAGTGACCGTGATGACCGAGAGGATGACCGCCGACGAGACCGAAGTCCTCCGCGACGCTCCTACGACAATCGGCGGCGCTCACCGCCTCCTCGACGGCGATCGTTTGATGAAGAGAAGTCAACACGGCGAAACTTTAGCGACGTGCCCCGTCGGGTCCGATCACCGATACCAGTCAAAGAAGAGCCCAAGAACAAAGAGAGTGTGGCAGATAAGCTTGCAAAGATGCAGGCAGATGCAATGTCTGTCGAAGAACAGCGCAAGGAGCGCGTTCGTCAGCGTGAAGCTGAAGCCGCTGCCGAGGAAACGCAACATAAAAACTCCGATGGTGGCAAACGATTTGTGTCAAATTTGCACCGCAAGACTGGTGATATGGACTTAGGTGATGTTATTGCTAGGGGAAAGCAAGGCTATCGGAGAGAAGTTGATGTATAAGACTGCTTTTCCTCGGTTTATTGGCTGTACCCGACAGGAAAACAACAGCAGTTTCACGGCTATTAGAGAACGAGTGCATACAGTGAGTGAACGCATTCACAAAGATGAATGTCAGATATCTAGGTTACGATACCCGGTGGAGACGATGCTAGTCTCTGCTCTAAACGAATGACAATCCATAGATCAATCTTGTTCCCGTTTCTTAGTCACACTTCTTTTCAGCTTTCCTATCACCTTGTCCATCAGTGTCCATCAGTGTCCCTTGCCACCTGCAGAATTTCCAAAGCTCGCTGCAGCACATATCGTACATTCTTCCACCCCAGTTATCCCTCTATTCTTATATTACCACCATCCCCGGCCAAAGCATCGGCAAAATTAATCTGCATCCCAGCACCAATCTTCCACCATTCAAACCTGCCTCTCCTTCCATTCAACCCGGGAATCACTTGGCAGAAAATCTACGACCAGGCACATGTAGAACATAAGAAGAGCATGTGGGGAGCGGCGATATTGCGGGGAACCTGGATGTCGATTGTCGCCTCGAATGCCGAGTCTGATATTGCCGCTAATATACAACACGACAATTTGGATAATGGAAGAATGCCGCGACGAGACTTCCACACGCACTTGGCTTTCTATTGCGGCTTGACGAATTTCAAGGTACACAAAGACGACGTTATGCCGCCATCATGGGATTGCGAGAGGGACCTTCAACCACACGCGACGCTTCCCTTGGTCATCCTCCAGTATCATCATCATCACCGCCACCACCACCATCACCATGGCGTCCCGAACCCTTCTCCTCGCCGCTCTAGCAGCAACAGCAACCTCACGCTTCACGCTCTCGCCGCGTCAAGCCAGCACGGTAACAGTCGACCTCACAAAAACCTACCAAACCATGGACGGCTTCGGAATGAGCGAAACCTTCCAACGGGCCAACCAAATGCACGCACTCTCTACAACTCTCCAACGCCAAGCCCTCGACCTCCTCTTCAACACTACCTCCGGCGCCGGCTTCAGCATCCTCCGGAACGGCATCGGATCCAGCCCCGACTCTAGCAGCGACCACATGGTTTCCATCCAACCCAAGAGCCCTGGCGGCCCCAGTGCAACGCCAAAGTATGTTTGGGATGGCAACGATAATAGTCAGGTCTGGGTTAGCACTGAAGCTGTGAAATACGGCGTGAAGACATTCTACGCAAATGCATGGTCCGCGCCGGGGTACATGAAAACCAACGGGAACGATGCGAATGGTGGGACACTATGCGGGGTCTCTGGGTCGACATGTTCATCTGGAGATTGGAAGCAGGCGTTTGCGGACTATCTCGTGCAGTATATTACGTACTATAAGGAAGTTGGTGTAGAGGTAACGCATGTGGGCTTTCTGAACGAGCCGGATTTAACGACGAGTTATGCTAGTATGAGAAGTAGTGGACAACAGGCAGCGGATTTTATCAAGGTGCTTAGACCAGCGTTGGATAAGGCGGGGTATCAGGAGGTGAAGATTGCGTGTTGTGATGCTGAGGGGTGGAGTAGTCAGCAGGGGATGATGAGTGGGTTGAATGGGGTTGGGGAAGCGTTGGGGGTGGTTACTGCGCAGTACGTTCTTCCTTCCTCCTTTCCTCGGATATCTAGTATCGTATCCGCGTTTCTAGCCCCCCGTTATGAGAGGAGAGAGATGCGGTGTAAGACCATGTGAAACTAGCCGGCTGCCGGCTAACGAGCGAACCCCCAGTTCCTACACCTCTTCTCCTGGCTCTCCCATCTCAACCGCCAACAAACAACCTGTATGGCAAACCGAAAACGCCGACCTCCAAGGCGCCTGGACATCCACATGGTACGGCTCCAACGGCGCCGGCGAAGGTCTCCTCTGGGCCAACAAAATCTACGACGCCGTCGTCAGGGCAAATTGCGCGGCCTACCTGTATTGGGTCGGTGTCCAAGGCGGCGCTACGAATTCTAAACTCATACGTATTGCTGATGATAAGAAGAGTTTGATAGTGAGTAAGAGACTCTGGGCTTTTGCGAATTGGAGTCGGTTTGTGAGACCAGGTGCTGTGAGGGTGGGTGCGAGCGGTGGGCCCAGTGGCGGGAAGGTTAGTGCGTTTAAGAATTTGGATGGGAGTGTGAGTGTGCAGGTTATTAACGGGGGAGGGAGTGCGGGTGCGGTTAGTGTGAAGGTTGCGGGTGGGGGGTTTACGGCAAAGAGCGCGAAGGCGTGGATTACGGATAATAGTCATGAGTGTGATGAGTTGACGAGTGAGTTGGGGACGGATGGGAGTGTGAGTGCGAGCGTGCCAGCAAGGAGTATGGTTACTTTTGTTTTGCAGCCGTGAGTGCGAGGGTGTTGGAGTAGTACGGGGTTTGTATGCATATTTGCAGATATTGCGGAATATTAGCAGGGCGCATTTGATCAGTTCAAATCTTGTAAACATCAGTGGCATGGATCAACAGGACGCAGAGTTCTGTCCTGAAGGATCTGTGCCTTCATCCAGCTTAGGTGATAAAATGGGGTATTGAACTAATAAGACGGATTACGAAGCTTCGATTTCCTCAATCCTTGCCATAATCTTAGCCTTCCATTTCTCATAGTCTGCTCGTTGGTGTTCGCTCAAGTAGTCCGTGGCGTCTTGTATCATGGTGCCAAGGCCTATGTACTCACTCCCGCCATCTCTCAGGCTTCGATCTCGTCCGCCGACGGTACGGCTTTTGCCATTCGTCATTTCAATCCCCTCCATTACATCCATATCTTCGGGAAGAGCGACGTTGAGAAACCACTCCATGCGTAGCCAACCTTCTTCTTGCGCCATGGGCATCAGCTCTTCAATGTCGGCGAGAAGACCTTCTTCCGAGGCACTTTTTCCAGCCTTAGATTTCAATAGCGTGGACACGGCTTTTTCTCGCCACTCGTCGAACTGTTCTGGTGTGATCTCTTGCGGACTTAGGCGCGACAGGACATACAACAGCATGACGGCAATGAGTGCGAGGACACGTGTATCAGATAGGTCTGGAATAGAGGTGGCAGCAATGGTTGTAGACCGACGTGGCCGTTTACTAGGTGTTTCTGGTGCTACCGCGGCCGCGGCCATTCGGGCTAGAAGCGGCAATGTGGACTCAACACCAGTGTATACATGCGGTGCCGCGGCAGGGTTTGAGAAAACCTTCAATAAGCTGCGAATCGTCGGCATTGTCCATTCCGGGGGCTCCAGATTACCCGCACTATCCTTATTCATGCTTCGAGGAGTCCTCCGAGCACTTAGCGGTGTCTTAGGTGTAGTCCGAGCCGATGCCGGAACTTGGGCGGCAGCACCTTTTCGAGGCGTCTCGGGTGCGTGCGAAGTAGATTCCGGTAAGGCGGTTTCGAGGTACTTGTACAGCTTCTTGTAGATGCGTGGAGGGCATGGAGGGCGGGATATGATGGTGGGGAGATTGAGGGGCTTTTTTAGCCTACTAGGTTGTCAGAATAACTACTAAGAAGGCGACGCTGGGACGTACCTCTCACAAGCTAACTGAGCACATGCGTACGGCCGCGCGATCTCCTCGTCCTGCTTCAGACTGTGGGCGACGCTCCGGGATCGCGCGAGGAGAGATGCAGCGAGTTCAACGAGCTCTGGTGGTAGGGGACCATTGAGGGTGGGGATAAGACCTATGAGCGCCTGCTCGACCGTTGCTCGGCTCATAGTGGATAATGGTTTGATAGTTTTGGACGAGGAGTGATGATCGCGATAGTCCGGCGACTCCGTCCGAGCGCGTAGAGCGTTCGCGAATTCACGTGAGGCTAGGCCACATCAGGGCAGGGTGACCATAGCGAGGACGACGTCATTCCCGCCGGCTGCTTGACCTCTCAAATTGCCCCATCTCTATTATTTCTCTCTAATTTGTCTTGATATCTTAATTTCTGCTGCTAGTTTCCTGTTGACCGCTTCTGGATTGCAGTTACTGGTAAATCAGATCCGGAGTACAGTCTGATTTTCCGATAACCAAGAGTCTGAGAATTTCATCCCCAGAAAGATGGCGTTTCAAAACAACCCTTCCCGCCGCCCCTGTAATTCAGGACTTCTTTCATCTTCGAATGTATATATATTACTACCACCATAGAGCCACCTCAGTTACATATTACCTAAATACCTGTAACCTAGTCCAGGGCTTGCCTTGCTCCTCCCACCTCATCCATTACACCAGACCTCTCCTATCAATTCGGACACATCAATTCAGAAAACAGCGCAAGGTTTAAGCGCCGCCTTATCAGTTATCTTCCGACTTGATTTCAGACTTGAAATCTGAGTCGCCGATACCTTCGTGTTGATCGGAATAAAGCTTGTGCTGCTCACCCGTTCAGGTATCTGAAGACTAGGGGAAGACAAGAGCTTCCTTGGTCTGATACGGGTGGACATATATCCCATGAATGGATTCACTTCACTCTTCCTTCAACCAGAGCTTCGAGGGTCATCACTGGATACCATCCCTCCTCTCTCTAGACTGCTTCGAACAAACTATTCTTTTCCTGCCATCTAGCGAGACCCTCTAGAAGAACCTACCAGTCCTTAATACCACACTATCCGAAATAATCGCAAGTACATTATTGTAGTAGAAGACATCTAACTCACCATCAGCACTGAGGGGCTCTGAAAATCTCAACGTCCTTAATCTCACCTCACAGCATCCTTCGTCATGACATATGCCCATCACTTCTCGAACACCCGTCCGCTCATATCGTTAATTAACTTAGTTTGGAGAGGCCACTTTCTCATCCTCTCGTAGCCCACCGTTGTTCTACCTCTTAGCACATCGCGCGTGGCCGCAAATTGCGCACAACACTGGGTAGCAATTAATCTTGGCAACTCTACCTAGGGTCCAAAGAGTTCTATCTAGGCAGATCCCACACTGTAGCGCCATGGTCGATTGGTTGGATCTCTGAGTGGAAAGACGGATACCAATCGCGTCGAAGTGGAATATAGCCTATTTTTTCAGGACTGGAATCCGAATGCTATTGATTAGATCTACCATATCTCCTTCCGATGCCACGACGGCCGGTGCCCATGGATGAAAATCGAGTATTCAGGCAGCGAATCATAGTCTATTATTCTGTATGAGGGGTAGATCACCGCTCCATTTCCTTTGTTTTCGGGAAACCATAGTTCTAGCGGTGGATTCAGATCGTCGACGTTGTACCGGTAGAGTTTCCACACACTATTCGCATTATTGTGAGATGTGTGGCGGAAACTCGGAAAATATAACCTGTTATTGACCTCGGGTAGCCACCCTAGGTGTGTATCCGATTTGGCAGCTGCCACAATTGCAACGGATAGAGGCGTAGACGTAGGTCGTGCCTTGTTTTTTTTACTAGCAGCAACCCACGATTACGCAGCGGATGGAGCGAGAGTCGTCAACGTAGCCATTTCTACAAGATGTGAAGATGACACAGAATTAAAGAAATCGTGAGTGAAGTGCGGTATTGACATGTGCTGAAACCCTCTAGAATGCCAATGAAAGAACCCTAAGATGAAGACAATAGAAAAGGTCAATAGCCCTACAGTCTTAAACTTTCGGTTTGAAAAAACCCTATGCATTCCGCCAGCCGTCGAATCTGTAGAGAAAACGAGTGAAGGTAAAACTCAAAGCAGATATTAGAGTTGACAATGTATAGACATATTTTGTAAGAAGAGGAAGGGGCGAGTCCACCGATTATAGATCCCATCAGCGGGGAGGCACCAGTTTATGCTTTGCATTTTCACCTCAATATAAATCTTTCATAGCCCATTTGCTTAAGCCTAGCTCCGCTTCGGACACGTCTCCATACATGGATATTTTCGCCAGTCTCACGAAGAAATTTTGTTGCACATCCTAGAAGACCAACATGTCATCAGCATACCCATTTTGAACAGAATTTACTGCCCAAAATTATTAACATAAACAAGGTAGAAAAAGTACAAAACGTACGAAAGAGAAAGTGCTTTTCATTCAGGGTGGCGCATTTTGTCAAAAGATTGTAAAGATTTGAGTACTTAAAGTTTGGTGAAGTCTTTAGGGCGACCGAAGGAGAGGATCAAGATAACCCAAACTAGCCTCTTAAACAGCCACTAAATCCAATTAATTGAATTTACCAATACCAGCCTCCGGACTCTTTCGGCGTTGCGGTTCCGGGACCAGACTACGATCGTTCACTCTTTTCCTTAATTTGAACCTCTTACTGATCTCTTTCCCATGAGTTAACTAACAGAGCCTTCCATTCTCCTGCTCGTCGCGTGCTCCCTCTCAGAGCCCTCTTCGGGAACATCTTATTATCATTTCGATGATATTATCTGCTACAACGAATGACAGTGCCCGAGTGGTTATCAGTGCTGCAACACTGGTACACACTGCTCAGAAACTCGTCTCTGCAAGAACTCAGGGCATGGAGATCAGACATGGGGGAGGAATTCTCTTTCCACTTTTGGGACTCAAATTTTTGCGCAAAATTTTATCTGTACGGCAAGCTCTCCCCTCATGGTTGAATGAATTGCAACGCTAATAGTATTGCAGATGAGCCCCCATAGGATAGCCATTTTCTAAGAACAGCGATCTACAAATACGAAAGTTATTGTGGCGGTAATAATACAGCATGTTGCGCTGATGGTAGTAGAGTTGTTCTCAATAACAAGGGAGATATTGTCAAGAGCTCTGCAGGGGTTATACTTTCCAAAACATCAACAGCTATATCGCCACAGATGTTACTATCAATTCAGGCAATTTCATCGTTAGAACTCATTTCATTCATATTTATCTCCGCTCCTAGCTTCAGTTCAAACAGGTTCCGACCCTAGAACCCAACTCCCGCGTCTTCCAATCCATCCGTTTCCCTATCATATAGCGCAAAAGCGAGCTTAGTTGGGGGGTGTCTCATTCAGATCTGTAGCTAGTACCCGACTTCTCATCTATCAAGTAGGTACCGAAAGGGGTCTAATCAAGGTATGGGTTGTATCGAAGCATGTGTGGAAACTCTAAGTAATCAGGGCGATGTACATACTTAAAGTAGTCGACTTACTCCTCTACATCCTCAGTTCTTCGAAGAACATTCAGGCTCTCTTCCACCTGGTCACCTAATTAACCAAGTTGTGGGCAAGGTCTTAAATTAACAAATGGAAGGGCGGGGTTTCTTCTTCACGGCTAGGCCAAAAAAAAAAATTGCGCTCTCCAGGCGACGTTCTCGAGGATTGTTAATTGACTTCCACGTTCTGGGAGTAGGTTATCGGGGGGTTTGCCAATATCATCCTGCAAATATAATAGGAAATTCAGTTCAAGGCGCTCGATACTTGGCGGCAACACCTCGAGGATGTCGTGGAATTGGTGACTAGGAGCTAATGGCCACTATATTCCCCCTCGAGGACAGACCAGTTCAACATTAGCTGTCATTAGGTTTACCCACCAAGAGATACATGAGCAGCTTGACATATTGCAACCTTTCAAATTCTTTCAAAGAGCTAAGAGCGTCATCGTCTACTAGCCAGTCAAAGTCATTCATTATTCTCAGATATTACAAGGATAAGAGATGAGCCTCAAGGTACAGCATGGATTCGAGATACTACTCAGGGCCGCTTGAGTCAAGAGAGTCAAATACTGAAGTCTTCAATGACTGACAGGACCTAATCACCTTTTCCAAAGCAGCAACTAGCATTTCAACCTTAAGAAACCATAGATTGGTGATATTCGACGACCTTGGAGGGTATTCCTCAAGCGGAGGCGATCTGCGATACCCGTTATTGTAGGCAGTGTGTCCAACCGTTAGTACACCTAATAGTACAGTACTGCAGTACACTGATTTTGGTCACGTACGTACGTACAGGGCATCTACTCAGTATACTGTACTATACATGAGGCTGCTGTACTAACCGTTTACGGTAGTTATATAGGATTTTTGGTGGTTTTGGGCGGTTGAAGGCAGGTTGCTGAGGGCCAGGGGGCTCGTGTTCGGAGATTAATCTATCTGGTGCAAAAATCGGTGGAATTCCTTGGCAACACAACAATTTTCCCTGCGCGCGTACAAACTCACATACAAACTGTGAATTTACTTATTTTATGCAAGAATTATACAACAACTATCTAATAATTATTAGTAAAACTTAAGGCTATATAAATATATATAAAAAGGTATACTAATGTGTTTTTTAAAGTTATAGTCTTATGTTTTAAGCTTATAGCGTCTCTATAAGGCCTCTTACGCCTATGTAGGCGCGTTGCGCTTTTAAGATCTCTAGAGAGCTTATAACTAAAGGCTATAGCCTTAATTTATGCTAAAGAATTAAAATATATTAC